TTTGGATCCAAGATACAGGTTGAGCTCCTGTCTATCAGCTCCAGCTCCTGCTAACCTAGAAGTTTGAAAACATGCTTTGGTGGGAAAAGGCAAAAGAGACATTCCAAGCAATCTTGCCAGACACACAACCAGGAGGTGACAATGCAAGCTCCTTGGCTTGAAAATGGAGAAAAAGCATCTCCTCCAGAAGCCGGAAATGAAAGGAGAAGCCTCTGCCTTTGTTTGTGTTTGTGTGTCTCATTTGTATATGAGGGAATATTTGCCTATCTATGTAAATCCTGTAAATTCCTAGGGGGGAAGGATAAAATATAAATAAAGTATATTATTATTATTATTATTATTATTATTATTATTATTATTATTATTATTATCACCACGAGTTTCTTTTTTGTATTTACATATTTCCTCAACCCATTTCTCTCTTGAAAGTAAGCTGAAGGTGGGAAAATAGCCCCAGCTGGATGGCTCTCTGGATACTTTTAGCCTCTGGCTTCTATTGTCCTCATGACTTAATATGGCCAAATGGCTAAGGGTGATGGGATTTGCAATGCAACAGTATACGGGAGACCAAAGGCATTTCATCCCAGCTTTAACCTTTCAAGTGCCATTCTTAAAGGGAGGCCTCTTAGCTAAATACACAATCTGATTTTATTATTGAAGGTTACTTACCACATCTTCTTCACTCCATGAACAGATATCAAAGGAAGGCAGCAACTGTGTGAGAAATATGAATTTTAAAAAGAGTTTCTCTTCTTGCCTTTTTGACCCTTGATTTTTTCTTTAGTAGTCTTGTTTTGCTGTGTACATAATCAAAACAATCTGCCACGAGGGCTTACTGGAAAATGGCTGATACAAAGATAAAGTATCTCCTGATCTGAAACAAAACCATTCAACCACACTATTTCCATCCATGTTCTTCCCATTTTTAATGATTAATGGCATCAAAGCATTTTTTTTTAAAAAGTTGATCTATTTTACACATCAGATTAAAATTTCAGTCCTTGTCTTTCCCAATCTATGATGTAATCACGTTGGAGCTAAACCAAATGATCAACAGCGAACCATGAATTAATCAATATGACAAATTCTAATTTGAACTTGCTTTTAGGTTTGTAAACTTAGTATTGCGTAGGCTGCTACAGATTCACATTTCAATATTTTTGAGCTATGTAAATTGTAATGAATGTTTAGCTGATTGCCTGTTAAAAAACATCCTGCAATGATGAAGAATGTCATTTCAAAAGAAATGAACAGTTAGATTTGATTCCCAGATTTGAAAAGCACTATACACTTTAGCAATAGATTAGATGACAGCAGGAATACATTAGAGTAGCTGGAGTTTTTGAAAATGAAACCATGGCAAATGAAAGTTAGCAATTTCAGGAGATGAAGAATATCCTAGCATCTAGGAATTTCTCACTGGTTTTCTGGCAATGAAATAATTTGTATTCAATTGATTGTAATGCTATCCAAATCCAAGAATCTAAACAGACACACACATCAGGTGAGACAACTGCCCAGAATCAAGGGGTACATTGTTCTCCTTCACCGCCATCTAGCAAATACTACCGGTCACTGCCGAAATTCCAAAGAGTAATGGCCAAACAAACAGACTTTCATATTAAGAGAACCATGCTGCTTCACATCAAGTCATTTGGAAAATACATGTCTTACCAGGGAAAGCCTTAGTATTTTGGGGAGAGAAAATGCTCCCTACCAAGGCATGTCATGTATACTTAGTTTTACTATGGATGCATAAACAAAAATTGGGCTTTCCTCTCCCAACCCCAATGAGCAAAACAAGAAACTTTGTTTGAAAACATTTCCCAAAGCAGCCCAGTAATAACTGAGTATGATCAATGGCCTCTATCGGTTATGATATCCCAAGCATCAGTTGGAAAGGGAAAGATTTTGTGAAACCATGGGTAAGGAGAGTGGGATTGCTTGCTTGAACGGCCAAGAGCTCACAGGATCTTGGGAGGAGGAGATGAGTCTGGGTCAGGCATGTAGCCGGGGGGGGGGGGGGGGGGGGGGGGGGGGCTTGAGGGGCTTCACCCCCCTCCCCAAATTCTCATGGTGGTCTGCGAGAAGGCCTTACTGGTATATTATTTAAACTGTTATGTTTATTCATATAATAATCTGATCACCATGCTCAATATATCCCATATGCATGGGGGTATTGGGGTAACGATACAAAAGGTTTGCTAGGGTAGATCCTCTTTTACTCAGACTCAGCCTCCCCCGAATCAAATTCCCCCCCCCCCCCCGAATCAAAATCCTGGCTACGGGCCTGGTCTGGGTAAAACACCTGAAGAGGATCAGCAGATTGAAAAGGATCAGTATGTTGTAGGTCTGCTACTTATTAGGATCGAGCCATAGTTCCATTCAATCTAGAGCAGCAGTTTTCAACCTGTGGGTCCCCAGGTGTTTTGCCCTACAACTCCCAAAAATCCCAGCCAGTTTACCACTGTTTGGATTTCTGGGAGTCGAAGGCCAAAACATCTGAGAATCCACAGGTTGAGAACCACTGGTCTAGAGGACAATCCCCATGTAACTAACCAAGCACCATGCCACAACCTTTTCCTTGCAATACAGTGATGAAGAGAAATGAAATTAAATGGTTTGATGCCATACATCAGTAGAGTCCAACACAAATGCATTGGAAAACTGAATTTCCCATTCATCAAATAACGGCCAGGGCCACAAGTGTAATTGTCCCCATCCATACCCTTAATTCATCTGCACTTGAACTTACCACCATTTACTAGGAAGTGCAGCAGTTCTGTCTGTCATAGTTCACCTTTTTAACCACCCTTATAGTATTTTTTTCCAAAGGTGGAACCAACATTGTAAGAACAAACTGATGCTTGTATGAGTTAGTTACTGCAAGACGCTCAGTGCAAAGGTCTCCATGAAACCTGTCTCAAAGCCCTGCTGATGTAGAATAATATTACCAAACAAAGAACATTTTGATAATGTACAATAACTGTGTAGTATCTGTCTGTTTAGAGGAAACTCAGCAGATGGTACTCCTGCATTCTAGATTGGGCCCCAAAGCCTCTGGCACTTCAACAAGTTTTGGACTTGAGCTTGCAGGTTCTCCAGTTAGCATGGCCAAAGGCAGGTAAAGGATTATGCAAGTTTTGTCCAAAATATTTGGATGATTAAATGTTGTAACACCTGCTCTGGTTGTTCTTTGCTATTAAAATGATGGACCTCCAAGACCTTACTCAGGTCTTGCAAACTCAAAAATATGGCCTCCTTGATCCAACCATAGTGCAGTTTTCCTGTATTAAACAATCCTTATATACACAATATCACTTGCCATGTTGTTGGTGGTGATGAAGTAGAATAACATGGGAAACAAATTAACTTTAAATGTACTTGATGAAGAATGCATTGAATGCTGATGATCTGAGATTATTAAACACCATAACAAAAAAAAATCATTTGTTAATGGTACAGTACAGCAGTTGTCCTTCTCAAAGATATAGCACTGTATTGTGTCTACTGCTTAATGAAAATAATAATTGGTGAAAATGATGGAACTTCAAGCATTCCATTTTTGGCCTCAATGAACAAACACATCAAATTATCTAACTGTATCAGCCCGGGTTAGTATTTGGATTGGAGACTGCCAACCTATAGTGGATGGTGTAGGCAATACTTCAATGGCAAAATTACCTCTGATTTTCATTGCCTAAGAAAACCCTATGTGATTCATGGAGTTGCCATAAGTTGACAAGCAACTTGAAGGCACATAAATATTATAAAATCTAAAATTGACAGTACATGCCACAGAAAACTGATAATGCAAGTTCTCAGATGGGGTACAGATATTCTTCAGGATTTGAGAAGATGGAGATGACCTCTCCTGACCCCAAAGCCGCAAGAGCTATATCTTGTTTTCTGTCCTAGACTGGCATGTCAGTATCCTTCACCCAGGACTCTAGAGGAGTCTTCACTCTCTGGTAGGTAGGGGGCAGCAGAACCTAACCTTTCACCTTCAGCTACTAATGAAAAAAGAATGTTGGCTAGAATCCTGTATTGGTTTATAATTAACTAAGTAGTTAACTAAGTAACCTTTCCTGACCTGACCTCACCAACCCCAATGAAAATATCATTCAACTCTACTCTGGTTGTTGGTGGAATGGCTGTCCTCCCCATGCAGCTGATGTTCGGTGAAGGAGGGTGGAAGGCAACAGTACCAAACAGTGGCAATATCAAACTGTTGATATCAGTTTGATATTGCCACTGTTTAAATACTTATACTAAATACTTATAATGACTAAATACTTATGATTATGAAACTGTTACAGTTAGGTGACTATTTCATATTCACATTCACTACTTAGTCATGATTTTGACATCATTTCCATGATTGTAATTCATTCCCAACCTACTTTATCAGGCATCTGTTTCATGGGGAGAACAGGGTCCATTCTGCCAATAATCTAGGCATGGTGTGTTTGTGAGATTCAGTTGGAAGTGACCTAGTTAAATACTTAATTAATATCTAGTTTGTAATATGAGACTATTAATAAAATGGACCATTCCAATTTGTCTTCCAAAACATAACTAGGTAACTTTGTTTATGGTTTAAAATAGTTTTCCAAAAAAGGTGATAATTGTGACACGTTGCTCAGATACAAATCAGTATACCACACAACCCTTGTGTCCATGGAACTAGCCAGTGGTATAGTATCATGGGTGTTGCAGTTAAACTGTCCTAGAGGACACAATACTGTCTTTTCTTGATAGCTCACTGTTGAAACAGCACCTTCATATGGCTTCTTGACAATAAATGTAAGGGGATGATAGATGTTCTGCTAGTAATAGGAGTGGTACCAGTTTCTTCTCCTACTTTAATGAAATATTGACTGTTCCAAGGAAACTCCCAGGAATATGAGATGGATATAGTAGCACCAGCTATGTGCCATGGGTTCCGGGATGCAGTCCAAATAATAACAGATGGTGCAAACATACCATTAAGACCCTCATTTAAACACTTCACATTTTTATTCATAAGTACAGATTTTCTTTTTTCCCTTTGTAACTGTTAAAATATTTATTGCAAAATCAAAAATGGAAACAAACAGAAAGAAAAGTAAACACTTCAAAAGTAAGATTTATGACACCAACCAGGGGTTTGGGGGGGGGGGGATCCCTTACATTGCAAGGTGTTCTGTTAATAACTAGAAAAGCAAATCCAATATATGGATGAAGCAAGACATCACATGGTTAAATACTGTAATGAAAAAGGAGGAACTAACTACAAAAAATCGTGCCATGCAAGTAAAACATTTCACATTCCATACAAATTAGATAGTTTGTTTACACACTGCAGTAGTTTTGGCACAGAGTTCACGTGGCACAGCAGTTTTTAGAAAATCAAGTACAAACTTTTCTAAACACTATGAAAATACTTTCCATTTACATTTCCAAACATGTCTAGAATACAAATAATACTGTTTTCTTATTAACCAATATAAAACATTTAAACAGTGCAAAAGCAAAGCAAAAAAGTAGTGTACAATATCATTCTCCAATAGTGACATTACCTATTTCTGAAACAACATGTTTACTAGTTTGCCTCCATGATATTATTTTTCATTTATCAAGAAAGCTCTAGGTAGGCCTTGCAAGTGATTAGGTTAAATTTTTAAAGGAACAATTAAGGCACTTTCTTCACCCATTTCTAAGAGTAGAGTATATATAGTATATCTTAAGAACTGGAATCAATGGTTGCCATGTCCTACTCAATAGTTTCAGCAATGCTGAAGTTGAAAAAGGTAACCAATCCAGTGGTCGAATGTGTGTGTCCAAGTTGTAAGTTCTACTACACTGTACAAATGTTTTAAAAAGGGGTTGTTGAAGTAGCAAAAGTCTGTGGACCTGCACATTCTTTAAGCTATGGTGGTATCTAAGGCTGACACATCCTAGCCATCTACACCTTCCACATTTGGTATTGTGGAAGATGTGCTGATCAGATGGTCAAGAATGCTACTTTGCTCCAAGTGATGGCATAAATATATATATTGTACATATGGTATAAATATAACCTAGCACTTACATCAAATTCTGATTTTTCACTCACCCCAGAGCACAACTTACAAAAACATCTATTGTTTCTCCTGGGCAACATATGATTTCTGGTCAAACCATACGTTCACTTAGAACTTCAAAACTATGGGTGGAATCCAAAGAATGACTTTCCCGGACAAAACTACATCTCTCAATGAAATGGAAAAGGGAGCTAAACAGAACTTCCTGAGTGGAACCCAGTTTGACAAAATCCACTCACACAATGCAAGTTCTTTCACTGCAGGCACCTGCATACCCTCAAAACCTGTAGAAGTGAGAACCACTAATACTACTAGTTGTAGTATTACTATCACCACCACTTTTCTGTACATATTTCTAGGAAATTTAGAGACCGCAAGAGGGAAGAGAGAATGCCACATTGCATTATTGGACTTCTGTTTTTGTGCCAACGAATTCCACTACACATGTTCTATGTGACTGTGTCAGTGGATGAGAGGCAAACAAATAATGAATGTATCAGATACAATGATGACTCTACCACATCCATGTGCCTGAAAAACAATCGTCTGCATACCTATGCTTGGTGTTACCTGAATGCAGAATTTAGTAACACGGTTGTTCTTTGTACTTTGGTCTCTTTAATGTCCTCTCAGGCACTGCACTTTAGTAGTGTATAAATATTTAACCGAGAACACTCAGCACTATAGTAAAACTTCATACAGTACATAAGTGGTTATTGTTATGCCAAGAACTGATTTCAGATCTGTATTTTCTAAAAGCAACTAATATCTTTTGGTGTTTACAGCACAGATTAACCTAGAAAACAAGGACACTAAATTCTCAGGAAGTGTTTGACTTTATTAGAGGTATGGTACAATATAAACACAAGTTTATTGGCATCAGAAATACCATATATAGTCATGTGCAAGTCCATTCATGTATAACTTGAGAACAGGTTTTAGGGCCAAAATTATGGGTTTTGATACGACCCCCGCATAGATTAGACACCAGACTGTAAAGGGGAAAGGCACTAATGCTGTCCCTGGAGACCAGCAGCCCCTGGCCACTGCCACCAACACGGAGCAGAGAGTAGAGCGAGTTGGTACTTATTTTAGGTTTTCCCGGGATAGATTAAGTTCTCACTTGTTGCCATTCTACTCTGAGAATGGGATAGTTCCTTTTTTGATAAGAGTTAAAGTACAGTACTCACACTGATTCATAGATAAATCAACCCAGATTTTTAGGATTGATTTTTTGACTAAAAGTTCTAGACGTATGCATAAGTATATAGGACACTTGTTTTTAGAATTAAGGCTCCAATCCTATGTATATTTAACCTATAAGTAAAGCTCACTGAACACAATAGGACTTAACTCTTTGCAAGATCCATAAAGTTGGGCTGCAGAAGGATGGGTTACTCCAAAAATGTGTGTGTATGTGTTTGATACCTCGTATGTGTAAATGTGCTATTACAGTCTGGTAACCCAATCAACTGATACATGTAGTTATTAAAAATAATATTCCAGACTAATATTCAGCATTTGCTATAGAGAGGGAGCATGCAGAATATCATTCTAGAAATATTATTTTTTACTTATCAATGGCCTGTTTAAATTGCCTGGGTTACCAAAGTGCAATATCGCATTTACTTGTAACTCACCACATCCTAGAGATCCCTAAGTCCGAGTTGAGCCTTCCTATGGTGTGTGTGCATGTGCACTTACTAAAACACTATCACAAATAATACAGTTTTGTTTTCAGAACTTGTTGGCATTTTTGAGTTTGGGTTACTGAGTATAAATTGATTTCATTAAATTATATTGAAGTGATCCATGAAAGCTGTATATATACATAACTGTACACATAAAAGTCTATGGAACAATTACACTGATAAATGTTTTCTTTCAGAGTTATACACTTCTAATACAAAATATTACTGGTTCAATTGTTAGTGTATACATAGTAGAACCTATGAATATCTTTTTGTCAGTTATCTTGTATTCCTCACATCCTCCAAAACAGTGGTTTTCAACCTGTGGGTCCTCAGGTGTTTAGGCCCACAACTCCCAGAAATCCCAGCCAGTTTACCAGCTGTTAGGATTTCTGGGAGTTGAAGGCCAAAACATCTGAGGACCCACAGGTTGAGAACCACTGCTCCAAAACCTCAGGCAACTTTCTTGGAGGTACAAAATCCTACAGCACTAATATTATAAGAGCCATGATACAGAGGCACAGCTCAGTCTTTATTAATGTTTACTCAGAGAAAAATCCACAGAGTGCCACAGAATTTGCTCTGTAGTGAATGTGTATGGGATTTTAACCTAAGTGTAATAGCTCGGATCCTTGGTGTGCTCTGCTCACACTTCTGTGAGCACTCATCTTCAGTGATTGTCCCTTTCAACCTCAAATCACAGGTCACTCCAAAATGTTTTGGTATCATTGGTATCATTGTTAGGGGTATGGATGGGGCACCACAGGGACGAGGAGGTAGGCACATCTCTTTAGGACATATGTTCTTCCAAACTGAGTTTTCTTTTAAAAATTTACAAGTGCAAATACAGAGCTACAGCTACAAAATGTGTTACAAAGATCAGAAAACAAAATTAATGCTCATGTTTTCCTCTCTGGTCTTTTAATGTGTTCCTCCAAAAAAAAAAAAAAAAAGCAGCCCACACAGAGACTGAGAGTGTTCATTATACAATTGTGGTTCTACAATCCTGTACTCCAATGATATTCTAATTCAAACATTAATCAAACTGAGCACTCAGAGGTTAGATATGCACACAGCTTTCTGGGAAGCACCCTGGAATTTTCTACTTTAATGGTAGCAGAACATGCAGAATTCAACATTCTTTGAGGTTTTGTTTCAGAACTACACTTATCTGGTGGATCAATTTTATTTTTCATAGTATTTAAAATTTTGATTTTCAAAACAGCATTACAGTTTTGAAAATCATTAAAGTGTCTATGTTTGGGCTTCCTATGGAACATTTATAAACATGGTACTGTAAATATTTTCAAAACCAAACTGTTCTATTATGCCCTTGAGAAAAAAAAAAGTTGATGCTATGGGCGACAACAGAGTGGCTCTAGTGAAGATATGGAAAAAATATTTATCTACATAGTTTTGACTATCTATGTACTTTATTGTATTCTTACATGCGGGGAGTGAGCTTGCCTGTAAGTGGAGCACAGTTTTCCCAAAATCATAAAAGATTGTGCTGGAATCATACATAATTTTTAAACCACAGTCTTCTGAAATGAGGACAACTTATGGTTAGCCTAAATCTTATGAAGTACCCTCTTTAATCTCAGTGTACTAGAGAAATCAGAAGCTCCTACTTTCAACTGAAAAGAAGCCACCATTGTATCTGAAATCCAAATCTGGGAAGTCAAAATCCTAGTTCTGAAATCACAATTTGTGATTTGTTCTCATGATTTAAACAAACCATAGTTCCCTGTGACCAGAGAATTCCCTATAATCAGGCAACTGTGAACATTTAAAAATGGAAAGGGCGCATTTTCTATCTCCTCCTCCATCATGTGAAATGATGAGCTAAATTAGGGCTTGAGGTCCAATGATAGAGAATGGGGCTATTAAATATCATACATGTGCACATGATTAAATCAAACTTTAAGAAACACGCTACTCTTGTTTTTGGATGATACATACAATGCTGGCCCTGGATATGTCTTGAAATATACAATTTATGATGCGCAAGAAGGATAACACATCTCTTAAGAGTGTGCCAGCAACCCACAGATTTCCAATTTAAAAAACTAACATTAAAAAAAGGTAAAGGTAAAGGTTTCCCCTAACATTAAGTCTAGTCAGATTCTGGGGGGTGGTACTCATCTCCATTTTTAAGCCGAAGAACCGGCATTGTCTGTAGACACCTCCAAGGTCATGTGGCCAGCATGACTGCATGGACTGCCGTTATACCACTCCAATTAATTGGCAGCATATCTTTAGTCACAGGGTTTTCTTTGTTTTTTTTTTAAATCAGTTAACATGTAACTACTAAGAGTTTCAGCCTTACTGATTATAAGCGGTTCTACTGTGTTCTTTCGTTATTTGTATGCAACTGTGCTTGAAAACAGACACCATCATTGACTTTGCGTGTTCAGTTTCTGCTCTGGAAGGTGTTGTGTAAATGTCATTGTAGTAAATTAAATTATATGTGTTCTTCTGAATTTATACTATTCTGAACATGATAGAAATTACAACTAAAAAACGAAAGAGTAAAAATGTAGATAAATCATATATACAACAAAAATCCTGCAAGGGTGATCTAAATATGGAAATAGGTGTGTTTCATGTGTGCCCTGTCCTATATGATATATTATTCTCTGTTGAGGAAATCTGTATAGCATTGATTAGCTGCGTCATTTCTTTCCCACAAACAGGTGATCAACACAACAAAATATGATTATAAATTCAGTGAAGAGACCTTTGACAAACTAAAATAACACAGCCACAGAAGGCCACAGAATTTACAGGAGGTCCAGAGGGAATCATGTAGATTTCCTCTGCTTTTTCAATTCCTAAGCAACTCTAGAAACTTATGCAGATGTAATAAATTATGCTGACATAATTTGCCAACAAATTAAAGTGAATTAAAAATATACTAGCAAATCTGGAGTTTTACAAAAACTCTTTGAGTTGTAAATCTTTTTGTATTCAACCAAATAATGTTGCCACACATAATGAAAATGCCTTTTTTTAACGGTTCAAAGATATTCTATTTAAAATTTTACAGAAATCATTTGGATGGGTAAAGATAAATAACACACACGCAGCAGAATGGGGCTAGAAATTGAAATGCTGTTTTTAGAGTTACTTTAAATCAGACTTGTAGGATTCTTTCTTTGCTGAAAATTGTTCTTGCCCTCCCCCCCCCTCCACCCCTTTGTTTCAGGTGCCACGTTAAGAGTTCTTACTCCTTCCATTCACTGCTAATCACTGTCACTGTCATCATCAAAATCAATATCATCATCGGTATCATCATCAGACAAGTCGAATTCCTGGAACCCCAGCGCCAGGTTGACCTTCTTCCCTTTTCTCATAGAGGTGGTTTTGGAAGAATTCTTTTTGGCTTGCATATTTATCTGCATCCCAGAATGCAGGACGGACCCTGCTTCGTTCATAGAGAAGACATCCTGAAAGCCCTTCATCATCAAGGCCTTCAGACTTTGGTTCATGCCAGCCACCTCCCCGTTACTTGTTGCTGTGATCTGACATGACATCTCTGCACTCTTTGATTCCTCTGTTTTAGATTCAAAGTAAGACTCCTCAGACATTCTTGCAGCAAAAGGGAAGCAAAACTAGTAGAAAAGGGGAAAGGAAGGACAGAGAGGGAAAATGGAAAGTTAGAACCAATTTAAAATCCCAGCAAAAGATACCACCAGATTAGTTTGCAATAAACAGAAAGCAAATGGCTATAAAAAGCCAAGTTAGATTTGTTTTCATGGAAAGGCAGTTGTTTATTTTTAAATCATAAAGATAGCACAGCCACTACCAATGAATATGCAAAGCACCACAGACAAGCTCAGGTTTTATGCTGAAAATTTACCTCTCATGGAAACTTCTTGTGTCAGAGCAAAAACAACAATAGCACACAATTATGTTTTATTTGAGAAATCAATTAGCCAAAGTCCTTAAAATTTTTGGTTTCAATTTTTAAGTCTAATACGAGTAGAAATATAGTTAACTAACACAAGGTGTAGCTAGCTACTGCAAAATATATCTGAGGGCAAGATCTTGCCTCATGAACATAGGACATAAAGTTTCATCAGCAGAATCCTCCTGTTTTCTCTCTCTACACACATGATGAACCATTCTGAGAAACCCTTTGGCATGGCCATATAATGGTTTGGGAAGGATGAAGGAGAAGGGAGCCACAACCAGATAAAGGCATCCCTCCAGGACCTTGTAGAGGTTATCTGGGGATCCTTCCACATAGCTGAATAAAATCCCACATTTTCTACTTTGAACTGGAATATATGGCAATGTGGACTCAAGATTTACCACCCAGTTTGGGTTGTTAACATATAAGGGTACAAACTGTACGTGTATGTGTGCAATGTAGTGTGAAAGATTTGCCAGGAAAAATAATCCACATGGCTGCTTCACATGAGTTGCTCTGCACTAAGAACCCTGCAGTTGCATTATAAGTAGTCACTATTTGCATGTGTGAATCAGAACTAAGAGGGAAGAGTTTCCATAATATAGCCATAAAACCGCTCAATTTGTCCTCCTTTCAATTCCATGTAAATGTCGCCACAACGTTTGACAATGACAGAGCAGGTGCTCTGCAGCTGCTGCTTAGCCCCCATAAACTTGAAAACTCTTCTGCTTAGCATGTGTCTCCATCTGCTTCCAATTCCTGACATAAGTTCTATGCACCAATTCTTGCATATTAATTAAGCCTTCCTCTCTCTCTCTCTCTCTCCAGTTTGTTGCCCAAACTGACAGAGAGATCAGCTCCACAGCTAAAATTACAGGGCTACATTTGAAATGAAGGAAAAGTACCATTTGATCACAGTCTTTCCCTCCATGTAGTGGCACCCTGGTTGCTACTACAACCAAAAGCAAAGCAATGCTATGGATCATTTTTGTGATTCTTGCACTTGCATTTCATATTTCTACTATGCCTAAATAAAAATCCAGCTGTGCCCACACATGTTTGGAGAATAGTGCCCAGGCTTAATTTCATGAATGATAGACACTGAAAGCATTTTTCTCAAGCCCTTAAAGGATGGAGGGGAAATGGGTGGGATCAGGGAAAGACCATCCTGTTCTCTCATTTTTTCACATATTTCGTGGCTAAGGCTAGCACTGAAAACCAGCCCCAGGTTCCAGCTCTAATAAACTCTGTAGTGGATTAATATTCACATTTTGGCATATAAATTCCAGTTGTGAGGGAGCCTAAACTGCATGAGAACACGAGGGTGGGGAAAGATACAGAAGCAGAAATGTTGCTATTGCAGGGCACTGAGAGAGCCCATGGTCCAAAGGGTGAGGGAACTGTTTACCTCCAACCCTGTCTGGATAGAAGACAACAGAGTCTTTCACTAGCCCTAAAGGAGCTTCTGCTGAAATTCAAATAATCACTTCAGAGATTGTGATTTTTGCTGGGATCACTGGAGGAAAAAAAGTCTATTTACAAAATAAAAACATGCACATTATGTGCACTATAGAAATAAACATCATGTCTTGTCTTACTTTATCGTACTTCCAGGACCAGAGACTGCATGCCTCTGTATGCCAGTTGTTGGGCAACATATATGAGACTGTTGTGGATCTTCATGCCCCATATGTGTTTTTTGTGGATGATCTGGTTGGTCTCTGGGCAAAGGGATAGTTTTTTGACTCCACCATTTTCTGGTCTGCTCTAGTAATGCTCTTTGTCTGTTTGTTTTCTACAAAGCTGGAGTATGCTTCAAATATCTTAGCAATATCACATTATACAGGTCATCATCCATTAGGTAGCCTAGCCTGTCTACTCATGAGAATATTCTCTTGGAGGAGAGGTACAGCATGGACAAGATCCCAGATTTGATCCCTCACATGTTAAGTTAGAAAGGGAAAGACCTCTGCCTGAGACTTTGGAAACCACTGCCTGCTGGAGTGGTCAAGACTGTGCAAGGCAGAAAATAAGGATATTTTGGCTATCATACTATTTGGCAATATATACTAGAATAAGGCAGAAAACCAACGTTTTCAGTTCGGAGTTGCTATCTTTTGTAAAAGTGCTCAAGGCTTGGCTGTTTGGTTGTGCATTTAAGTAATCAGATCTAATTTGCCAAATAGTCATTGTTGAATGTTTTTATGTTGAATGTTTTTATATTGTGAAATGCTATTTTAAATTGTAAGTCGCTCGGAGCACCTTGGTGGAGAGCGACTAATTAAGAAATAAAGTGAAGTGAAGCTCTCAATTGTAAGAAGCCAGTATTTAATAATATGATGAAGGGAAGCTGCCGGGCAGTATGAATTATGGGGACACCTTGTTGCTAGCACTGTACACACGTTGTGTCATTTTCTTCTGGGTTGTTTTAATAAAATAGATAATAAATATATGTTTATCAGCACTTGAAAAAGTTACTGGAAAGCAGTTATGCTGCCTGGACATTTTGTGACTTGTAATCCCAAAAGTAACATTCCCAAGGACTGGTGTTTTGATGGTGGTGGTGATTATTAAATTGACAGCTGAACCTTTTGTTAGATTCAATGGTTTTTGTATGTAATAGTAAATTCCAGGCTAGGTTTTTAAGGCGTGATCATAGCAGTCCTGGCTGTACAGACTGTACATGGAAGGTAATATACCAAAGGAAAAAAATGAAAAAAAACCCCGGAAATGGAAAACTAATTTTTAAGTGGAAAGTAAACTGTTGGATCCACAATGCAGAATGATGTCAGAATTTGGAAAAGTTATTTTTTGGATGACAGATCTCAGACTCTTGAAGACATATGTCAACTGGCCACACTGGTTAGAAGATTCTTGGAGTCATAGCTAAAAGATGAAATTTTCCAAGCTCCACTCTCTACGGTATGTTTCTTTTTGAAGAACCTCTTCCTCCATCCTTCTGAAAAATCGTAGTCCTCATTTTAACTATCTCATCTTAAACCACCCACACGGAATTGCTATAAAGGAATTCTCACCAAATGAAAGAGGAAAAAAATGCACGTTCTTGTATCTGATCATTTCACCTTCATCCCAGTTTTAATTTGCTTCGGCTTCCACTTTCATAAAGCAGAAAACCAGATCTCTTTCTAAAAGGTTTCCTATCTCCACAGAATACCTGAGCTTGTCTGTGACCTTTTATGTTCTTTACATCCCATGTCCAAGATTTGTTTTTGTATACAGAACAGCAGAACTCATAAAGCAGAACTCGTTTTTAAAAAAGCAAAATGAAAGTGGAGAAAGACAGTATAGGAAACAGCAAGACTTTCCATTATTCAGATAACTGACAGAAGCTCTTTCAGCATGGCTGATTCATTCAAGACATTGAAAGGATGCATCATCATCACCACCATCATTGCAATCTATTTTTCTGGTAACAGTTACATTGTGTGTATTACAGGTGGATTGTGTTAAATGTCCAATACGAAAGAAGTTTATGCTAAGCACAAAAGATATCAGCACAACATACTCCCTTCAGCAAACCCAGCCAGTGGGGGGAGGGAATAGAAGCTATAAGCAAGTGCAACATTAAAAAAAAATACCCAAAGCCTTGCTGGTGGAAAGATTGGCTCATTAGGGCTATGTTTCATGCTGTGCACCATGTAGGTGATGGCCCATATCTTAGCTGCTGGATCTCTGCAGACATTAAAGGGAGCCCACAGGCTGCCTACTGAGAACACAGAGCACCTTGCTTCTGGGAAACACTCATGCCTCATCATTATATGCTACTACATGTTCACAGCTGGAATACACATGCAGTGTCATTCATATAGATGCCATTAAGCTGTACCTCAGAAAGAAGGTGCAAAAGCAGTGAACAGGCCAAAACCACCACTTTTATTCACGAGTAATTATAATGTGTACTGTACACAATCACAAAAGGATAGAACATCGTAACAAATGTATTGATACAACCCATCAACATTTTAAATCAAAGCTGATTTAGGAAGGAAAGACGGGAAAGATAGAAACCTAAATCCTGTAGGTTAGTCCCATCTGGACTAAACCCACTGAATTAATTGTTGAATGGTGAATCAGCATATGGGCCAATCCCACTGATTTAACAGGCTTACTTTAGTTGAGATGAGCAATATGATTCAAGCAAAATCAGCCCATCACTTTGGGCATAAATAGAATTCAACATAATTAAATAAGGCAAATGAGAAGATGTGAAGATCACTTGCAAGAAACATCAAGAGATGTTAAGTTAACAACGCTCTATTAAGGTAATTGAAATCATATTTTAAATGCCAGTTCTCTTTTTTAGTCTTTTCTTAAGGATATGATCTCCTGCATATGAACTCAAGTAGTAATTACTCTTACATGAGAAAGAGGAGGAGGGGGGAGATGATTTGTATTTCACATGTATTATGCTTTATTTTTTAAGCACTGTTTTAAAAATTAATACAAATATAAAAAGGCTTTAATGGTATTTTGATATCCATAAGCCAGTATCTTCTCCTGAGTTTCTTCTCCTGAAAGCAAACCTTGATTTGGACTGTGCTCTACCACATGTGTTCGTACCTGGACCTCCTTTCTGTACCAGGCTATTGCTAGGGGCATATCTAACTTGCAAAGTTAATTTGGAACAATAATTAATCTTTATGTTAACCAAACCTTTTTATCAGGGATTATTTGTTGTTTAGAATATGCAACCCATAAAATATTCTGAAGGCACATATGCGAACACGTTGCTAAAGCCAAGCGCATCACAGCCTGCTCAGTATCTTACGTGGAGATCCCGGAAAGTCCCCCATTCAGCTACTCTGTACTTCTTGAAGGAAAAGTGGGACATGAATGTAATAAGCATGAATTGTGGAAATCCCAAGTATCACTACAGTTGCAGAAGCCAAGTTGTGGATGGCAGAAGTTCAGAATTGTGTTTCAGGTGTAGGAGCTGTAATGGCCACACAAGACTCCACAAATGTGCAGTGAAGGTCATTCACATCATTCACAAATATCTAGCCTCCCATCAGAAAGCAAATCTGAGCATGCTTTCCTTGGTGTGCAGAGGAATACCTTTGCCTCCAACATTGAAAATTCTGCACTTTAAAGCACACTGAAAATGGAACACTTTTGCATGTCCTTATGATACACAACAGAAACAACTGTGGTCGTTAATTAAACATAATGCACAAGGGCCAGTCTGAAAGGTTCGCATATGTACCTAACAAGTGTGGGATTTTCCTTCTATTAGCCAGAGATCAAACAATTATACTGAAGCAATAATGTTATTTCATTATGTAGTTAAACATCCAATACCCTGCTCTTCAGTTAAAATATGTTTCAGCTGGATTTTGGGGAACCAGTTCTAAGAATGCTTTGTTTCTCAAAGGTGTAGCATTCATAGTTTATAACAAACCATTTTAGAAATAGGGGGAGGGGAGGGTGAAAATCCCTTTCCAAACAGTGAATGGATATGGAGGAAAAATGTGAAAACCCCATAGGTGAGCCTAAACATCAAGAGCTCTCCCCGTTTTGGGTGTAGCTTTGGATACGATTGTGATGAATGGTAAATGGGCAATATACTTACAGGTGTGTTGGACTGTTCAGTGAGCTTCTGCTCCCACATCTTCAAGCGCCTCTCCCGCTCTTTTAACTCTTGCTCCTTAAAGCTCAGGTCACGTTCCAGTTTCTTTAGTCTCTCCAAAGTTGCCTCTATTTCACATCTACACAAAGAACAATTTGTTAAGTCATGTCTTTTCCTGACAAGTACAAATTGTTCATAAATTTTTTTCCACATGAATATTAATTAAACGAGAAAGGGTAAAAAGTACAGTACTAACTCAAGCAGGACATTTAATTACTACCAAGAGAGAGGTTTTTGAACCATAAACAAAACAGAAAGTGTTCAGGCTTATAAAAAAATTGATACACCTTGCTTTAAAAATTAAAGGAAGGGAAAAATATATTTTCTTAAAATTACATTTTATTTCCAAGAAATTAAACTATGTGAATTTTTGGTGGTCCACTTCAGGGCATGGTCAATAGGTACAGTTTTTAAACACTGGCTACTGAATACTCCCTCACCCATTAAAAATGGTATGCAAAACCAAACACTAACAGATCAAGAAGGAAGATGCTAGGCCGGGAATACTGCTGCTGTGCTCCTTTTCTGTCTGAAAAGAGGCTTTTAACATAGAAGAGAACTCCAAGAGTAACGCACACACAGTCCACCATGCAGTATAGAGTAATGAGACCATTTTACAAAATCATTTTGTTCTGGACTTCCCACCCTCTCCATGTCACTGTCAACACACTTAAATATATGCAGAAAAAAATAGATGCAGAAACTTCAAGTGGCAAAGTAGATTCTACCTTTTTAGACTTGTGCTTAGCAATATTATTTTTGAATGCTTCCCCATATTAAATAAAAATAGTCTTAGAATATAACAAGACAGCTCATAACAGAGAAAGGTTCCAGACCTTTTGTTGTGTTTCCTTTCATACTGAGCATTTTCCTCACGTAGGGAACATGATTTAGAATGCCATCCCAGAAATCTACCACCATAGCCCACATTAACATATGTTGGTGAAGTCTTGGTATGTGGCAAACAGTTTATGAAAGAACATTCACTAGTACTTCCCTGTAGTTTATATATCAATATGAATTATTAGAGTGAGAAATTCACAAATATAGTTTTAATTAAAAATGTTTTCATTGGCATAGAAATATGAGATTTTGATTATAATGAAGACATGAAAAATAAATTTCTCTTGCTTTGGTAGAAATGATGCTTGAAAGAGAGAGCCGTGATTCAATGTCAATCTACTGCCAAACTCTTCTTGTGTCTGAATTATATGCCTGACCCCAAAACGACCTCTGACTATCAACAGTAATGGCCTTCGCCAGAGAAGTCAAAGGTGCATGACATGCAGTGGGCCCTATTAGTTGGGCTCTGGAGTTCCCAAGTAAAATGCAGTGATCTGTTTAATCATCTGATTTGCACTCCTGATCCAAATGTAATTCTAAGGGCTTAACTGGACATTGCGAAAACGCAGAATGCTATCACTCTGCATTTCATTCTAATGGAACAATATAATGGGAACTTAATGCATACTGAGCAACTAATGATGCAATGGCTGAGATGATGAAATGTACATCACAATGATGTCATGTTCAATATTGTACTGGAGTGACTCTAATATTCAGAACACACTATGAAGAAAAAAGGAGGCAAAGAAGCACAGACAAAATAACTAATTCAGTTCTAGATGTATAGGTGCTACACCAGAAGCAGGTCTAGGTTATAAGGGTTGGGGCACCCATTGAAGTGGTTGGACAAAATTATATACCCTACATACTAATGTATAAGTCTAGGAATGTTAGTGAAGAAATGAACCCCAAAATCCTGGGTCAACTTCCTGGGTCAAGGGAGAACCTAAAAGAAGAGCTGACACCAGCCCCTTCCACACAGCTGAATAAAATCCCACATTTTCTGCTTTGAACTGGGATATATGGCAGTGTGGACTCAAGATAGCCCAGTTCAAAGCAGATATTGTGGGACTTTCTGCCTTGATATTCAGGGTTATATGGCTATGTGGAAGGGACCTTCATCTACTTTCTTTGCTATGAAGCTGCTTCAGGCTTTTTTGTATGCTTGAGTGGAAAACTAGCTGGCCCCCTGAGATGGAAATGGCGTTTTACCCTTTTTGTGGAATGACTCTTGACTTATCCATGGGTCATGTCAAAATTCATAATTTTGGCCGCCTATCATGTCCTCAACTTTGAGGCTGACTTTCCATTAATATATACGGTAAACAGTGCAAAAATAGAAATCATAAAAATCTTTATGGACAAATAGATTTTCAGCCCTGTTACTTCGGTAACAGCATAAATCCATTCATTTGCATACATTTATGTAAATAACAAATGCAATGTGGATGATAATCAAAACACTGGGAAATTCAGGGATCGACTGGTGAAGAAGCTACTTGCCCTTTCCCTTTCAGGATGGGGCCTCTAAGCACTGAGGAGTCTCCGTCAATTGCGACAATGTAATCATGGATATTCTGGCCCTGAAGAATATACATTGTGAAGGGCCAAATCTGACAGACAGCTGGACATATCACTACGCTTCAAAACAGTTTGCAGAAGTGTCCATTTGTCATCTAAGGATGAAGGCATATTGCACTCCTGAGAAAGTCTGCTGATTTAGATAATAATTCCTATCCCATTTAATAGAAAGCTGGAACCTGTACAACAAAATGACTCACATTATAGAGTCCAAAATAATCACAGCACACTGCCCTTATCTGTACTTCTGTGCATGTCTTTATGAAGATGCTGTCTATTTTTTAAATAAAAACTTTGCCTTGGTAACAACAGCTTTCTATATGTCAAAATAAAACTGTAATTATCTTCCCCCATTAGGTAATAACTTCTTTCAAGGAAAGGTCAGATTCTGAAAAACAGCTGCATTCTTTTTTTTTAAGTACAATAATAAAATAGTGTAATTAAATTGGAGGCTCCTGTACATTGCCCAGTTAATGAGTCTGTTACTTCACAAGTTTAGCAATTTACATTGAACATTATTGGTCCTGTGTATTCTGTTTACTTCAGTATTCTTGCAGATTAATATGGCTTGCTTGTTTTTCCATGACCTGGCTCGTTCTACTACCTCAATTCATAAACAGCTTATAATGAAGTATATTGGGAGGGGGGCTGCAATATCTATCCCCCTCTCCATCTCGCTAATTCTTTTTGGTCACTGATGTTTTATATACTATCTTGGATATGGTTGAAAGTTTTTCCATGTATTTCTGTGATGCACGGAATAAATAACTAAAATAAGTTAGAACAAAGTAAAAACACTGGCTTCATAGACACAGTGTACCCCAGGTCCTGGGCTGCCCCTAAGTTCCCAAAGTAGCAGAAGTGGCTTTTGCATAATACCCTTTAGGTTATTGTCTATGTGTTTTCCTGTGGCTGCTTCACTTGGTAATAGTTAAACATACTTCAGTTGCATCTTGACTGCTGTAGTGCATCTTGACTACTGTAATTCACTTTGCCAATGAAAAGCTTCACAAAGCTTCAGCTGGTGAAAAATGTTGGATACACAGACACCATAGAATAAATGCAATGAAATACCCCTCAATGTTTGAGGATGCCTGCCATAGATGTGGGCAAAAAGGGAATGTTTCTGGAACAGGGCCATACAGCCCAGAAAACTCACAGCAACTCTCTAGAATTGTGTGCTTTCCAGCCTGTGGAATACACTCCCTCCAGAGAGCCTAATATCTTTGCTTTTTGGGGGTCAGGCTTTTTAAACTACTTTGATGACTGCTTCAATTTTAATGGTTTAAATGGCGTTTAGTTAAGTTTGATAGCCACCTTGAGCACCATTCTTGGTATTTTTAGTGGAAGGGGAATGTTAAAATCTACTAATAGCTCAAATAAAATGACTCAGAACTATTATTCTAAATTTAATCACCATTTCAGCAGTGGGCTTTTTGGTTTGTGAAACAGTCTTTAATATTATGGATGCCTCCAATAATAGGAGAGAAATGGAAATTATTTTTGCTAGCTCTTGCTTGGAATCCTCAGCACTACAACCCTTTGAGATTCTGGAGGATCCCCAAACCCTTTTAAGCATATTTTCTATTTTAATAGCATTTAGTTGAAATAAAAGGGGAAAGGGCAGGGGAAAATGTTAAAATTTGATTCTAGTTCCATAAATGTATTCAAGATGATCCTCTTAAATACAATTCAAAATTTGCTGGGCTATAACCCAAGGAGAATAATTTAAACAGATGAAATTTATGTAAATTGTAGATATTCTGGTATTTTCCACTACTTTAAATTGAAAATATAATTAGTACCCTGCTGCGAAGATTTGTTCTTCCAGATCTCATGGATATAGAAATAAAACTCTCCCCCAGAGCTTTTAAGCAAGGTATTCGACAGGTCACTTTGTATCTCCAGTCTCTCTGATAAAGCAGCTTAGTTCTCTCTGTTGGTCATCAAGCAGTTATGTTAAGGAATGATGAAATTCATTACAAGGCAATCTTATACCTGTTTAAAGAACTGATTTATGAAGAAAAATGCCACTTTTCAGATAAAATGATTGGTTGATCACAGTTTTTTGTATGCTTTTAGCTATATATGACTTTACTTGTATTATTCTGTAAGACACCTTCAGTTTCACTCTTGGGAAAGAAGTGGGATATAAACAAAATGATTAATTGATGGATGTGCCAGGTTATGGTCCAGTTTCTATTTCATAGTTGTTTGTATTACGTTTCCAATTTCCAAATTCATATACTTTGTATGGATAGGCAAAAGCCACAAATAATAATGAACTTTATTGAAATGAAGAACTTCTGGACCAAGAGTAACATAGCTTGAAACTGGAGAACCTAGAAAATGTCTAGAGATCATATTTTGTCCAAAATGAATACATGAAATGGTGAGTACTAATACCATGGATATGGGGATTCTACTTTGTTCCTAACTCCATCAGAGTTGAAATGTCTCTCTACAATATAGTTATGCTACTCAATAGATCAGCTGCCATCTGCTATTTATTTTCTCTCTGCCCAGTTTTGTAACATGTTTCTTGCTACTACATGATAATTGGCAATGAAAATTGATAACTGGCGCACCAGGAGCAGTTCATGCCACCAAGATATTTCTATGGAATAATGCCACATTTCCTGATATAAACATTTGTAACAGCAAACGTTTGGCTTCCCAAATTGAAATAGCAGAAAGTGCTAATAAGCAAAGCAAAAAAAATTCATAGAAGAACATGGACTGACTGCAGGTACCGTAATCCCTTTCTCCAAGCTTATAAAACACACCACCTTTCATTTTTAATGTTCTTATTAATATATTCAAACTTAAGAATTCCACGAGCTTGACAACTGTTTTGCAAACTTTCCATCTTGATTCAACATGAGGCACCTGCTTGAAAAGCTTGGAAAAGTCTGTATACATCTATGAATGTTCAAAGGTTGCAGTTCTAAATGCCTTTTCTAGGAAAAAAGTTCCATCACTGGATTTATATTAAGGATTAGGCTGAAAAGAACATTTTAGACTTTGCATAAATCTAGTGTAGTCCTGAGTGCTATCCCAGGTTCTCCACTGCAGTTTTCACTTTGCATCAGGAGATGGCGCAATGCCTTGTGCTCTTCTGAACACGGCCACAGTCCATTTCTGCCATGCTTTGCTGAGTCAGTGGAAGAATAATGTCAGTTCTAAAACAAGCTATTTATACTTGCATCATGTGACTTGGCTCAAATCTCTTATCCTGTGCTCACTTTTTCCAGCCCTGCAATTAAATTCTCCAGTTATCACTTCTCTTCAGAAGTTTCTCTTAAATCAGAATGTTTTGTTTTGCTAAACCTTATTTCCACAAATCTCTTTTTCAAATTCGACACCTCTTCAAAAACCTTGTATTTTTTTCTTGCATGTTTCAGGTTGTTTCTAAGGAAAGGCAGGCCCATAATCATTTATTATGCTAGTAAACAGCATTCACATTGACCTGGAGAATGGCCAAATATTCCTAATTTAGACTGCTGCAAACTTTGTTTGGTTACAATCTCCTGCTGGTATAGCTCCATTTTTAGATCCTCCACTCTATGTATGTCAAGCTGTTTCAAACAGAGGATATACAGAATAGATTGAAGTGCATTTTCAAAAGTGACAGTACCACAGTATTAGTTGCTAGCAAGGCCCAAAAACCACAGAATAAAAAAGTATGCTTAATACCGTGCAGAAAGAAGGAACTATCACCTGGAATAAACCACTTAGGGATGTTATGAATTATAATAATGGATTGAAAGACAAAGCGTCAATGAATTTCAACTTATAAATTGTTTGCCTGCTATGCTAAAAAGAACTTCAATTGTCCTGATAGGATTCCTTGATGTAATCTGGGAGACTTATAACAGGGTGTGCTTGCCAAGAGAGTGGAGCAATTCTGATGCATTGGTTTGAGTGATAGATGAGGTCCCGCATTCAAATCGAAGACACATAAAGACAATGGTATCAAGGAGTAATCAAATGGGACAACCTCCCACTTTCCCTTTCCTTTCCAGTTTTGGGAATCACAATTCTCAACCTTCTATAATAGGTTTTTGGGGCACAAAGGGACTGCAGCAGGAAGTAGAGATTGTCTTCATTCAGCTTATGGCAGATCCAGCTGCTCCGCTAGAAGAAATCCAACTTTGGATCTTGCCCAATAAGTTAGGTAAACAAGGTCAGGAATTTTTTTAAAAATGACGTCTTCCAGATGTAGCTTTCAGAAAACAGCGGAGACTTACCGCCACTCTGCCTTGTTATGCAGGAATGAGTTGCACTGGTCTGGAAGATTGCTATCATTTGACATGGAATCCAGGATCGAAATGATCTGCTTGAAAGAGGGTCTTTTCTGAAGAAGAAAAAGGAGGGAAATGCCATTAGGTATTCTGTAAAAGAATTCATTATGAAAGTACACTCCAATATTACCATACTGTTTTAACAGAATTTCTTCAAGGAGAGTATAAGCAGAAAGATACAAACAGAACATATAATGGGATGCTGAAAAGACAATCATTGGGTGTACAATAAAACAGTTTTTGACAGGTATAAATTTAATATGTTGGGTTTTCTTGGTTTTGTTTACTATCCAAAAACACCGGAAGTATATCAGAATTGTACCACAGTACAATGCAGTCTGAGCCCTGCCACATGCACAATGGAGGACCTTCTCACAGCAACACCAGAGGCACTCCAAGTGGCCGGCATGACTGCATGGAGCGCCATTACCTTCCTGTTGGAGCGGTACCTATTGTTTTACTCACATTTGCATCTTTTTGAATGGCTAGGTTGACAGAAGCTGGGGCTGACAGCGGAAGCTCATGCCGCTCCTCTGCGATCTTTCAGTCAACAAGTTTAGCAGCTCAGTGGTTTAACCCACTGAGCCACCGGGGAGTCTTTGCCTAACCAGCAAAAATGTTCCGCTGGCTCTGAATATAAGGCTGGTTTAGTGCCATCTCTAGTTAAATTATCTTGGGTCCCAGTGTATCTTGAGATATTTGTTGTGCAAGCTTGAGAAAATGGGTCACTTTGTCATCAGTTCCACAACCTGGCGATATTCTTCTAAGTGAGATCTGGCAGGTTGCACCTATCTGTTTCATCACAAACATAAATAACACTTATTTCAATATGTTATTAATGTGTGATACATATAGACTTATTGCCACCAGTTTTGACATTTAACTATGTATGTCAGATTTTTTTGGTTTAGGTATAGATTTTTTCCATTACTTTTAGAAAAAAGGTGGTTAGCTATATTTTTACAACTACTATGGGTATCTTTCATAGAAAAAAAATTAAAAATAGATTTATTTACTTATTTGTTATTTGTGTTCTAAAAATAAAAGACCATCTCTTTAAAGCTTCTATACTTTATTCATCCTAAAGCAACTATGATTCACCACAAGGAGCCACAGGGAAACAAGTGGATGTCTACATACCTCTTCTATTTGTAACTGCCACATCACTCCTGTAATCCAGCACGTAGAAAGAAAGTACTGAATTAAAACTGAAAAATGCTAAGTACTTTTAAAAATCTCTGCTAAAATTTAACTAAACACATCAAGAGACTATTCCTGAAAATATTTTTTTAAGGAGAACTTTCTTAATTTTTGAGTTACAATATAATACTCAGATCTTGAAAATACGTCGCCTGACTCCAGATAGGTCATACAATTTATTTATTATTTTATTTATTTACTGTATTTGTATACCGCCTTTCTCAGCCCACAGGCAACTCAAGGCAGTTTACAGGCAACAATTCAATGCACACAATATCATAAATACAATTAAAAACATTAATATATAATATAAAACCACAACAAATCAATAAAACAAAACTCATTAGTGTCTCCTTATTTAAACATTGTCCAGTTCATCATTTAGTCGTTTTATTTTCCTATGTCAGTTACTCTGCATTTGCAAATGCTTGATCAAAAAGCCACATCTTGACTTTTTTCAGAAATGTTAAAAGGGAGGGGGTCGATCTGATATCCCTAGGGAGGATGTTCCATAGCAAAGGGGCCACCACTGAGAAGACCCTGTCTCTCGTCACCGCCAGACATACTTGTGACAAAGGCGGGATCGAGAGCAGGGCCTCCCCAGACAATCTTAAGATCCTAGATTCTTAACCTGTGGGTCCCCAGATGTTTTGGACTTCAACTCCCGGAAATCTTAACAGCTGGTAAACTGGCTGAGATTTCTGGGATTTGTAGGCCAAAACACCTGGGGACGCACAGGTTGAGAACCACTGTCATAGATGGTACATGTTGCTGTGAAAATTAACCACAAGAATACAGAGGATGGTATGAAATATTTTGATAGGAAGCTTTTGCTTTGTACAGACACAAAGGTTCACTTTATAAAAACATTTTTGAGAAGGTTGTGACTACTATTATAAAGTATTTTAATCTCATATATATCAGAGGTTTTCAGTATGTCATTTTTAAAGTAACAATAAGAAAGTGTAAGTAAGCATAAGTATCAAGTCCATTCATACTGTAAGTATTAAGAATCGAGCCACCTGGTTAGCCTTGTATAATTTACAACCAGGATGGAGTAGACGTAAAGGTACTAAAGTAGCACAAAGCTTCTCTATTGGTGAGGGTTGGTGTTGATAAGGAGTTGCTGTTGGAGAGAAAGCTGCAAAGATACAGAAGAATTGGAGAACAAGACCAGTGAGAGCCTTTTGCTAGTAAGAAGGTGTCAACTACCTAGGAGTGTCTGAAAGAAGGACTTGAGAAGAGTTCTGGCCTTCTGCTATACTGTACATATTCCTTGTATAAAGTCTCATCTACTACAAAGATAAGTTGTGTATGTCTGCTCCTTAACCAGAGGGGGAGAGCTTCTGCTGCAAAAGGGGGTTGTTTCTGTTGCTTCAAACAGAATTCTGCAATGACAATATAGGTATGCTAATTATTTTATATGTATATCTTCAAATCAGGTCCTCTATGAAGCAATTTTTAAATAGCATTAAATGATCATTCTGTTTGGTTGGATGTGTTGGTTTACAGCATTATTGTTATTATTACTATTATTATTATTTATTATGCAGGGGAGTTCTAGCATTGTGATTATAGGACAACTCAGGTCAAAGCATAGTTCAGTGACAAAGCAAAGAAAACTAGGTTCTGTATAGCCAAAAAACTGAGTCAGATAAAGCAGTTATAACTTCCTTGCATTTTCTACTGCATTTAAGACTGCCTTTGTTACAGTGAAAAAAGTGGGATAATTGTTGAAAACTGAAGTCACGGTTAAAATGTTTCTCTAGAAAGCATCCCCTTCGCTAGTCTGTTTGACAGACCCCAGACAAGGTTGAGACAAAAGGTTGAAACCAAAATGTGGATACATAATAAAGGGATGATGCACGCGTTCCCTGCATCACGCCTGTAATTACACCATTTCTGCGAAAATTACAGATGCGGCAATTAAAACGTGCATTTTAATTTGGGTGCACAAAAACAATTAGGAACAATGCTGAGGTGTCTCTCCCAGGCAGATCCAAGTGATTTTCACATTATAAAAGAGAGACAATTTCTTTATTTCAAATGTCAAACAGTATATAAAAAAAGTCAAATGCATAACAAAAAGAGACAAGTGCTCTTCTGTGCAAGAGCTGCCTATTCAAGGCTTAGGTGAAGGGATTTTTTTTTGTTCTTTTTGGTGTGTCTGTCATTTTTGGTCCATCTGTACATGACTCTAAGACAATTGCTTAAAACTACGTGGTTGCTATTCTGTCAGCCTTACCCCATATATATTCACAGCAGTTTCTTCCTACAAACATACCACCCTTTAGGACCTACTCTATAGATTACTGCTAATAGGCTTCAGCTGGAACATAGCATGGCAGGAGGAGCCCACTGAGCAACTCAGTACTTCCACTTGTTGATATACCATAAATATGTATGTATAAGCCGACCTTGGGCAAAACTCAAGGGCAGGTTTTGCTGTCCAAATTATGGGTTTTGATATAACTCCTGAATAAGTCAAAGGTCATTCCCTAGAGAGAGGAAAGTGCCAATGCAATCAGAGGTGAAGTTGTCATTTCCCCACTCAGGTATTCAAAACCCCGAAAAGTGGTGTGACAACAAACACAGTACAGAGGGTAATGTTATATTTGGATGGATTAAGCTCTTGCCTTTCACTACTCTATTCAGTGAAGGGGATGGTTCAGTACTCATACTGACCCATAAATATGCCAATATATATTTTTCAGCTTATTTTTTACTACATTTTTGAAACTTATACAAGATTATATAGGGTAATTAGAATCACAAAATCATAGAGTTGGAAGAGACTGCAAGGGCCATCCAGTCCCACTCCCTGCCATGCAGGAACACACAATCAAAGCACCATGATTCCATAATAATTCCTAATAGCAAGTCTTAATGGCCTGCTTCGGCAGTCCATGCCTCCCTGTGGATCCCACATGACAAAAAGGACTGCATTTTCACATAGTAAATGCAAATTAAAGCATGGAGAAAAGAACAGAACCCCTTGTATAGTGTCCATTAGTTCAAAGTACAGATATGCTTCAGCTAGCAAAATAGATGGGTTCCTGCTCATGACGTCTTTAACAGAAAAAGTGATACCAGAGGCAGAAATAATATGGCAAGAACAGAGATAGGAGCCTACACTATAAAAATGGGGGATATTTCAACAGGTTTAGCAAATGTCTGATTCAAATGCAATAGTATGCATATATGAAAGAAAGCAACAAAGTAAAGTAAGGTTTGCATAAATGAAACAATCTAAAGCTTCCAAATATCACTTCAAGATTTCTCTCCAAATGCATCCAGGGAAGACCTTTCATTTCCCCAGCTTCCACTTTTCTTATGGTTTCTATCTTGGCAGCCAAATGTAGAGTTCAGTGGTTGCGGGCAGGGCAGGTTATCTGCATTTCCCCTTTTTCTCTTATTTTTTTTCTTCTTTTGGCCATGCACACTCAATAAGGAATACTGGACTCATCGGTTCTTTACCTTGCCTGTTGTATGCAAGCATGCACAGCTTTGTAGAATGGGTTGGAGTCAAATACCATTTTTCCTAGGTCAAACTTTATTTCATTGTTTACTGCAAACATTCAGCTCTATTCTATCACCAAAAGGCTATGTTTCTCCAGACCTCCTCCCAATGCTGGTGCTTAAAAAAAACCCCTTCCAGACAGAGGAAAATGGGAGCTGGGGACATAAAAAGACTTGCAAAAAGAGAACCTTCATGCCAGAAGCAGAGAAAAAAGCCCTCCTTCCATTCCAATTGCCAATGCCCTGAGTGTGGAAGGAGAAAAGTCCCATAAGTATTTGCCTGACTCATTCCCCTCTACACTGCTCTTCCTTTTTCTTGTGCGCCATACCTTTAAATTGCAAACCTGAGGGTAGGGAACTGTTTTGCTTATAAAGCAGCATGTGCAATGATGGTATGATATAAATAAATGACGATAATAATAAAAAACATGAACAACAATAATTTTATTTACAAAATTTGATTTAAAAATTCTTATTTGCAGATGCAATTTTTTTAATGCAATCAAAATGCACAGGCCAAGATCTTGTATTAGATATGGAACCATGATGTTGATGCTATGATTTGCCTCCTGGTATGCTACATGAAACCCATTTTATACTGATGGAGTTGGTGGTGCTGGTGAGCAGGGCATTGAAGGAATATGTGCCCAGCCCTTTCCTGGAAGCAACTAAATGGTGGCATGGTAGCAAGAACCTGTCTAGGGAACTGTCAAATTCCTTGATGCTCTACTGATTTCTCTTAGGAAAAGGATGAGCATGTTTTCCTTCAGCATTTCACTCCTTAGCACTGCAGAACTCCATCCCTTGGTAAAGATGGCTGGATTTTCAGGTGGATTTTGGGCGCATTCATGATTGTGGCAATGGTAGCACAATCATAACTGTGAATAGGTAGTGATTATGAGGGCAAAATTCTAACATACCGCATCATTGCTAATAGGATGGCAGTCAGAGTGAGCAATGATAACTTATTAACATATTAGCAGAATAAATACCTTTGGATCTGCTTCCCAGCACTGGAGCATCAGTTCTGCAAAGCTTTCAGGGCAGCTGCTTGGAATGGTCAATCTCTATAACAAGAGAAAGAAGTTAATTAGAGAACTAAAGGAAAATAAGCATTAGATTATCAATCCCAACCATTTACTAAAACAGATTTTCTATCTCCTCATCAATCTGCAGCCTGGGGCCTAGATCATGGTTTACTGTAAATGCAGCATAGGAACCAAACTTCTACAGATCACATTCCTATCTACTCACATTCCTATCTCTCAAGAAGATGATTTTTGGACAAAGAATAAAGGTTTCATTATTTGGCCCAGTTCACAAGTTATATTCATAGTGTCATTGCTAAAGAGAAGATGTATTGGTTATTTTTAAACACATAATAGCTTTTATAAAGAGAGGTATGTATAGTGGAAGGGACAATTTAAACACTTCTGGAAATTTCCTCCTTGGCAGCAGCCACATTCTTGATGGAACATGTGAACTGCTTCTCAAATTCTGAGTGTAAAGCAAAACCTATCCACCATACTCTCACCGGATGCCACAAAGACAAGGAAAATAACTCAAGAACTTAAGCAGAGGAAAATCCTCCTCTTTCTAGAAAAACAATAAGTCTTCCAAACAGAGAATTCATCTTGGGAAACTAAGAATGTTCTCTCTCTAGTGACTATAAACATTATTTTAATTTCAAATGTTTGTTGGTGCTTTAACCCACATCATAGTTTTCCACAATAGTACAATGAATATGTCAGACTTGTCCCATGGCATATTAAGTTATTTGTTCAGTAATTCCAACATTAGATAGATAGGTGCCAATGTTTCTCAGTTCACATCCATTATACGAATTGAAATTTACACTGCTGACCTGCTTCCCAATCAACTAAGCTGTTCAAAGTTAAATGGTATTTAGGTATTGTTTTCAATTAAGCACAAATAAGCTAAAGTTAATACAAAAACATCACCATAAAAGAATTCAAATTCTGAATAAACATTCTAATGGATTTTCTAAAAAAAACATAAAAGAAAGAGCATAAATAAAAGCACAAGAATAAACAGAACCTAATATTAAAAGCAATGGAACCTATAACATTATGGATGTTTTTATCAAGCTGTCCTTAATCACAATACAAGTTTTGTTTGTCCTACAATCATCTCTGGTCAAAACAGTTTTGCAGTTTATGTATTTTGAAATCATTCAAATGACAGCCCGCAGAAGCATAAAATGATACTGGTGCAAAAGAGGCATGCACAGTATAATGTAACTATTACACATTCCTATTGCATAGTAACCATAGTTAGTAACATATTTCACCATACCAGAACTCCAGGAAATGTTTGTATGGTAAATGTTAAACATTTTATTAAATGGGAAATTGGAGCAGGGAGAAACTGTGCACTCAACCAATTTGGATAGGCTAACATAAGAAACTGGGAGAAACACATTAAGGACTGGAAGAGGTGTTTATTTCAGTTGGTGAATAACTGGAACATAGTTGCTAAGCTAGGGACAGTAGATTTTGAATTCTGCTATGATAGCAGAGTGAAGTCATGCATGCTGCTTCCAAGGAAGAACAGCACCTAGCTTTAAAGTGATATAAGTCAAATCAATAATAATAACAACAACAACAACAACAACAACAACAACAACAATAATAATACAAGCAGAGGCACAAAACCGTCGCTCAGATAATCCATTGGAACTTGTGCCACAAATGTCTGCTTGCGACAAAGATGGGATCACAAGCTGGAAAAAGTTATAGACAATGAAACATCAAACTACTCTGGGACTTCAGAATTCAGACTGACAGAGTTTTGGAACACAATACTCCTGACTACATGATGGTGTTAAAAAACAAAGTATGGATCGTAAATGTTGCAATCCCAGGTGACAGCAGGATCGAAGAGAAACAACTGGAAAAGCTGGCACAATATAAGGATTTAAAGATTGAACTGCAAAGACTCTGGCACAAGCCAGTCAAGGTGATCCCAGCTTATATGACCTTGGCCTGCACTTAAACACAATTGCTGCTGATAAAATTACCATCTGCCTTACTGGGATCTGCACACATTATTCGCCAATACATTACATAGTCCTAGACACTTGGGAAGTGTCCGACATGTGATCCAATACAACAGCCAGCAGAGTGATCTTGTCTGCTGTGGACTCATCTTGTTATGTTTCAAATAATAATAGTAACAACAACATCAACAATAATAATATATGTAGCATGGTAAGAAGCTTTAGTATCAATGTATTACAAAAATCATGCTGTAGTTGTTGAATTCAAAAACTAATAAAAAGAAGTCCCATTAAATTCTCTAAGAATAACTAGCATCTAAAACACAACGTGACTAAATAATAAGAATTATTCAAGAACAAAATCTCCACATTAAAAAACTGCCAGAAGACTAAGACAACTACTACCATTAAAAAGCTGCAGATGAGCATTTAGTAACCTAGCAACAGATAACCAAATTCAGTATCAGAAGCAATTTTGTGTACAAGCCAAAAGTTTCCCTTTAACACAGGAGTATTAAACTCATTTTCACTGAGGGTCACATTAGCCTTATGGTTGCCTTCAAAGGGTCGTTTGTAATTGTAAGACTGTGTAAATGTAACTATGTTGCCCTGCCATTGAAAGCCTCGTGGACCACATAAAATGATGTGGTGGGCCAGATTCGGGCTACAGGTCTTGGATTTGACACCTGTGCTCTAACCTGAATAACCTTGCTTCGTATGGTTAATTACAATATTACACTAAGACATGTAACGAGTTAACAGGGTCGAAATTGTAATGACCTATTCTTCAAAGCAGCACCCCAACAAAACTAAGTTTAATAAAATGAATCTGTGTATAGTATTAAAGAACCTGCAAAACATTATAACTGTTATGCATCAAAACAAGAATGTCATATAAGCTGTTGCACAGGAAAGAATGCTGAGGAAAACAGGAAATAAGGAATATACACAGTAAATCTGTAATCAATTATGCAGCCATTAAAACAGTGAGTAGTATAAACAAGAAGGGGAAAAAAACTTCTGTAGCAAAAGTATATTCAAGAAGTCTATTTGGCATAAACAAAGTGGGACTGGCACTTGATACTCAGGCAAGTCATTTGTCTAAAAATACACCTGATAGTCTAGCAATGGCATTTGTCTGTAACCCTCACTGTTCCAGGAGATGGAAAATGAGTTACTAAAAGACACATAATCATCCCTTACATCTGTCTTACTTGAGTAGAATGTTATTTGTCAGGTAATTTATAGGTAGCAGGTCCCAAAGAGTGTCATACTCTAATAAAAGTGACATTTCTTTGTAGTAATTTGATGTTAGATAATGACATCTTTAATATGAACTTTTATCCTTAGGATTGTGTTTTACACTTTAAAACATGCAAGTACCAAGAAAATTACAGTGAAAAGGGAAGGAAAAACTACTCCAAGGCTGCAGCCCTATAAACTTGTGCTTCACTATGGGGCTTACTTCTGAGAAGATTTTTTTTTAGGATTGCACTAAAGGCCACAGATATTTCACTCACAGATTAGTATGGATAGGGCAATTGCTTTGGATTTGTGTTCAAAGCCCCTGGCTACAAATCTCAGTTGATGGCCTTGAGTCCCTTCCTTGCAGAATAAAAAAAGTTTTAGGGCTAAAACATGCACATTCCTAAATATTTCAGTGGAAGAGCGTGATATTAACTTATCTGTGTCCTGTTATATTATAACATAATATATAATATAATATAATATAATATAATATAATATAATATAATATAATATAATATAAGGAGTCATTCCACTTTCTTCAGCCTTCTTGGGAATTACATCTGCTTTAACTTTACAGCACTCCACATTTGTAGTTTTGACCAAATATTTGATGAAAATGTTATCGCTAGGAATCTCGAGGCCCTCCAGTTCAGCATCTCTCTAGGAATCTCTATACTTTGCTGTGTGATTCTATAGTCAGCTTCTAGCAGAAGGACCTAGAAATTCCTAGAGAGGGATGAAAACAATAGCATTTAAATATGTTTTGTTCATTTTCTCAAGATTATGTGCCCCTAAACCCAGCGAATGTGGAAGGCTGGCTGTATATTATTTATTTATTTATTTATTTATTAGATTCTGATTTTCTCTCAAAGTGAGATCCAGGAAAACTTTTAAAAGACTGGAATTCCATCTGAAGTAAATGGGAATTTAATTGTTCTCACTGACAAACACAGTGTTGGAACCATACTAAATTAGCTGGGCTATAGTGTCATTGTAATAAGATAAGATAGTCCTCAAATATAGTTGGGACTCCCATTCTCATTAGCCCAGACCCTGTGAGCCTGGGCTATGGTCTGGGGAGTTTAATGTTTCCACTGTGGGTCTCCGTGCAGTGGTTCTCAACCTGTGGGTCCCCAGGTGTTTCGGCCTACAACTCAAGAAATCCCAGCCAGTTTACCAGCTGTTAGGATTTCTGAGAGTTGAAGGCCAAAACATCTGTGGCCCACAGTTTGAGAGCCACTGGAATGACATCTGAATACCCACAGATTACCCACATCTTGGAAGTATTGCTACATTTTCTATTGACTCATGTCATCCTATCATTTGCCCAAAGTACAATGGACCAAGTTTAATCATTTTGGCTTCTAGTGAGAGTTAAAGCTTGATTTGCTTTCAGAACCATTTATTTCTCTTTTTGTCATATAAAATATTCATTTTTTCCGCAGAATTTTAATTCTACTGTATACAAGTGACAAGCAAAAACAACAATAACTAGCAAAACAGATACATTACAACATCCTAACAAATCCTTTCCCTCCTTCCTCTCACCCGTGAACCCACCGTCTATGACTTCCACAGTATTCATCAACTCTTCTATCAACTATTCTCTTCCTATCAGCTTTTTTCACTGTCTATCTTTCACAACCATACACAGAACAGAATGTTAGTCATTGATTTTAACGTGACTAACAGAACAGTCTGTTATATAACACCACAAAAGTCAAGATAATCTATGAACTGCAGAGTATTTCCTGTGTCTGTGTATAAAGGTTGAGAAAGCTGGACAGTGAAGAAAGCTGATAGTCAGAGAACCAACTCATTTGAAATGTGGTGCTAGAAAATAATTATACAATTATCATGAATAGCCAAAAAGAGAACAAAAATGTAAATCAAGCTGAATCTCACTAAATGACTAAACAGAGGCTTTTGTACTGTGGACCTATGATAAGATATGGCGCATTATAAAAAATAAAACTTGGTGGAAGTGAAAAATAGTAAGGGGGGAAAAAAAAGGAAGACTATGAATTGACTATGTATAGGCCATGCGCTTACAATGGAAGTTAGTAACAGAATCTCTTGCAACCTCTCATCTACTGGAGTCCCATAAATCAACACTGACTTGATGGTGCATAAAAACAACAATATGGCTAACTGGATCCAACCATAATTTTAAGATCACACCTATCTGAAACACTGAGTATCAGTTCATCTCATGGTGGATAACCAGTTTTGTAGGATGCTTTTAATGACATTAAGAAAGAAACAAGGATTTTCACAATTTTTATAACAAATCACCAGAACCCCCAAAAGAGTGACATTTTTCACTGATTTGTTTTCTTTTAAAAAACATGGGCAATACCGTTCTTGCTATCCTATACATTATTGTGTATATACAGTTGAGGCTATTTAATGCTCATTAGGCCGATTCTAGCTGATCTTAGAAGCTAAGCAAGGTCCAGATGATTAGTCCTAGGATAGAATACCATCAGGCCCTAAAAGATATATTTCAAAAGAAGGAACTGGCAAAACCATATCTGAGTATTCCTTGCTTGAGAAAATTTTATGGAATCCATGGACTCTCCATAATTTGATAGACAATTTGATGGTACAGATACACAATCTTTTCACTTTGGGTTTCCAGGATCTTCTAACAAATCTTGGAGATGGGGTTAAAACAACTCAATTGTGTAGTTTGTATTTTTCCTTCCATGTAAGACCCTGTAAACACAACCCAGACAAAGTAAACCAATGCTGAGTTTCATTTATTTCACTTAGGAGGGGAACAGAGCACTGAAATCAATGAGATGTTTAAATTTAGGTCGGACCATGTCCATGTTAAGTACATAAATATACATGCCAATATAAGTGGAAGATGAGTTAGATCACTTTAAGTTTGTTAGTGTCCAACCATAGATTCAGCATGTCGGAGGAATAGTTCCTTGTCTTAATCATCCTGCTTCCAGGAAGTTGGGTGGGCAACATCTAGTACTAAATCAAGAAAGCCCTTATGTTTAGAAATTGAATGGTATTCTAAATACTTTATTTTTCTATAATTCTAATATAAAGTTGCAGGTGTACAAGAATTGTGAAGGAAGGGAGCGCTGCCAACTATGTTGGACATTTCATATAAGCTTGCTGGTAGCATAGCCAATCCGATCTTCAAACAAACTTATTTTAAAAGACAGAACACCATTTTTACATTAATTCACCCCTCCTTTCTTTCTAGCAATAATTCGTCTATAATACTTTAAAGCTTTTAACACCATTTGGGAAGCCAGCAGTATTAAAAAAAGAATAAAGAGGTCGTACTGTAGAAATTACCCAAGTTGCTTTTATAGTGGTACCCAACCTTCCAGCCTAGCTAGTTAAGAGAAGGATTTCCATACTCTGCCAGTGTGCGATACAGCGGCAACTTTAAATGTGTTTTTTAATGTACTTCCCGCCTTTGATATCAAGGAGCCATGTGTTCAAATATACGCTCACATGTTCAACTACCTGAAAGCCTCAATTTGTAGGAGGAAGAAGAAAAGCAACGCTGGGGGACACTTGTACAAAGGGTGTTTACGCCACTGAAGTTCCTTTGAAATGGAAAGACACGGCATGAAGACGCTTTGCAACTATGGCACGGCCTTACCAGTACCAGTGAGGAGCTCATCTTCAATGTAGTGGCGAACGTAGGTGGCAAAACTGTAATTTCCCTCTTTTTTTAAACTATTTTTTCTTCTTTTATTTTTGAAATCCTCATCTAAGTGGCAGTTTCTTGTACTATAGTGACTCCTGCTGGGAGAGTTAAGTTGAAGTAGCTGAAGGTCTCTTACAGATATATCAACTCCCGGCCAGTATAAAGATGTCCTAAACGCAGGAGATGGAGTTAAACTGTTCCCCTACCTTGGACGCAATGGCTTCTTTCATCACTAAGAACAAACCCCTAGGTTTTACAATTGAGACTGAGAAACTAGTACAGTACTTGTACAATTTTTGATCTACAGCATCACGACGTGAAGCTGCAACAATTAGATGTAAAGGGTCCATTCATGGGGAATAACATCACTTTGACCCTTTGTGTTAGCTCCTACTGCTAATCTTTCCATACGCGTGAACTTACTTTCAATTTGAAGAAGATGAAAAAGTCTTTTGCAAAACCCAATACTGTTTTCTGATCTATGTACCTGAATGTAGAAACGTAGTCTTACCTCGTTTTTTTCAACTACAAGCCAAGCTACTTGTAATCCTTCCAAGCCTTTAAAGGGGACCTCCCTTGTTAGCATCTCCCAGAGAACCTGGAACAGGGGGAGAAAAAGAATTTTTATTTCGGTACTTTGTATTTTAAATACATCATTAAACCATGATAAAGCATTATCTGTTTCCAATTACCAGACAACCAGAGACAATTTGCAGGAATCTGGATATATGTTTGTATGCAAGAGCCTCACACTAAATTCAACTTTAATATTTCTAATTTTTTATTAAAACTCCGATTTAATAATTATTGAGAGCAATGTGGGGGCTGTTTTTTATAAAATATGCAAAACTACAGTCTTCTTCTCTTGTTTCTCAGATCTTCAATCTGATGGTTGACAAGAGTCAACTAGTGGATTCCTTCTCTGCAAACTACAAGAGAAAATATTATTGCAAGCTTATCTCTGTTATACAAAATTGTACTATCTCTTCAGAGGTAATTCAAGTATTGGAAGATTGTTACATCAATTTACTTTCGTAAGAAAAATGCTTATGAGCAGCTTTAGGAGAGTCATGAAAATAGCTTCAGTGTTTCAAAGTGTTTCTATATTAATCCAAATGGCATAGCAATATTTTCTGTATAACTAGAAAGAACCTGGTCGCTCAAATACAACAAGATCATTCTGCTTACAATTTTGATCTGTATGTAACAAATCAGGTTTAGAATTCATGTAGTTCAGACAATTAGTAAAATAACATATGTATTTTTACTGTTCATGCATAAAAGAGGGATATTTATAAAGGTTAAATGGAATGAACTGAAAGGAAGGAGCTGTGTCATCAAAACCATTGTTGAGGAATTCTCCTGTAGTTACAGAAATGATGGGAAAAGTTTAAAACTTTTATGCACTACTGCACAAATATTAATAGGGATAAGAATTATCTTTACAAAAGACTATGTCATGGGCATTGTTTTCTGGTAAATAAAGCAAATACCTTTGTTTATTACTCTGGCAACTTTCATAATCTGATTGACCAATATCATGACAACGATATCACAGAATAGGAAAGAATTCTCAGCATTTCTCAAGAATTCAGTAGCATATATTTGACTAACAATGTCAAAATTAGTCCCTACTGTGGAAAACATTTGGACAATACTAACTCTTATATCAGTTTACCTGTCCGAATGTATCCTCCCCTATAAACCATCAAGGACTTTAAGATCATCTGGAGAGGCCCTGCTCTCGGTCCCGCCACCTTCGCAGTCGTGTTTGACGGGGACAAGAGACGAGACTTTCTCTGTGGTGGCCCCCCGGCTATGGAACTCTCTCCTGAATGAGGTTAGGTCTGCCCCCTCCCTCCTGACCTTCAGGAAGCAACTGGAATCCTGGCTTTGGAATCAGGCACTCGCAGATTGATGGACTGAACCAGTAAAGACTAAGAGTTATTGGACCACAATGTTTGGATTGAGTTGGATGATGTTTTTAATTTGGTGAACTGTCTCTTATATGCATTTTATAACTTATTTATTATGTATGTTGCTTTAAAATGTTATTTGTTGTGTAGCATTGAATTTTTGCTCTTGTTAGTCCCTTAACGGAGGTAGAGAAGAAAGGGATATTAAAGTTCTAAATAAAATAATAAATAAAATATCTTGAACTTAGGAAACCCACCTGGAATACTTGTTGACTCAAATCAGAGCTATGATGCCACTACAAGTCATACTGGTCTACCGTTGTTCTCTCACCTACCTTTTCAATTCTGGGATTACCTAATGTGCTTTAGTATGGGTATGTGGGGTGTGTTGTTTTTATTGTCATAAGATAACCTTTCTTGCAAGCAACTGCAAAGTTTGGCTCTAATTCAACAGCTCACTAGTTTTTCTACCAAATTTCAATTATTGTTATAGCTAATCAATTCATTAGCTGTAACAGTAATTGAAATTTGGTAGAAAAACTAGTGAGCTAGTATAAACTTCTGTGAATACAAACTTCCTTTTCAAAAACATGCCCTCTGCAGATATTTGGTGAAGGAAATTGTTAAGACACAAACTGCTATCTTGTATGTGATCATAAGAGACTCCCACAGCCCTGGAAGCTGGTGCTTCTGAAGTACAATATGACCGTGAGTTGCATGGTGTGGAAATCGTAGGTGTCCATCTGATTCAGTTACCAAATCCACATAACAAAATATTTAGCAGAGTTGTGCAATGGTCTTAAATTAAACAAATAATAGCATCCCTCATCCACTGTATAAATAGGATTTAATATCTAAAGCAACACACTGAGTGCTATTACTCATTTAATGACGCATTTTTGCTGGATCTACACTTTCCAAGCTACATTTATTACATAAATGCTTTAAGAGAGTGAGATATATGTGTGTGTGTATTACTGAAATAGATCCTACTGAACTGATATTTAACCAAGTACACTATAACTATTTCAGAGGTTTCATCATTGTTCCACAAGCACTTCCATTATAGGTATTTCCCTCCTAATGCAGAACGACTTCCCTGGTCATGAAGGAATGTGTGTGGTGCGAACAAGTACCATCTTGGTTTAGACTACAGATATTTCTAATGTTTTAGAAATAACTGGATGGATCACATGGAGCGTAAACTTGGACCCAGCATTTGTCAAGCTCTACCAGCTATGTGTCGGCTGAAGACCTTCATCACAAATTCATTTACTTACAAGTGTTTGTCATTCTTTTAAGTGAGAATCATAACCAAAGTAGAATACTGTGCAAGTCTAACTCTGTTTACTCAGAAGTATATCTAACTGTTTACATGGAGTTGGCATTTTTAAGGGCTTCTACCTTATGACGTCATTTGTCAAATCTATAAAGATATGTGAACCATAAAAGACAAGGCAAATGCCTTTCAACAATATATGCCATTCCTCCCATTGACTCTTCCCAATGAAGAGTCAAGTTCAGCATGATCAAGAAAAAACTTGGAGCTACGGGTTAACAGCATTGCATTGTGTCATGGTGGGAAAATGCATTCTTTCCCTTTACAATGTAAATAAAAGATAGAAAACAATATAATCGTTCAATTAATACAGTCCATTCTGGCAGGGAAAATCCAGAGGAAAAAATAAATAGAAGAAAGACCATGGATTTTGCCAACAGAATGCCATTTTCAACATCTTACTAGTTTACATTTGAAAAGGATTCTGCTCTTTGTTATCAGAATTTCAGCTGCACTTCGGCTGATGAAAAGCAGATGCCTGTCTAGTACAAAAGCCACTTGGAAGTGCTCTAGATTGTGATACTAGGCGGTTCAAAACTTGTATTTATGGATGAGATTGTTTTAAATGGAAAATATTCACATTTTGATGGATTAGATCTTTATCTTCAAAACACATTTTAGCCTAAAGGTTTGCATTAGGAGAAGCTGAAGATGAAATCTTGACTCAAGCCAATGGTTAGAGAATCAAAACGCATGCACTTCAGTTTACTAAGGCAACTATCTAGCTTAGAAATTAGAATGTGAAGATGTATTCCATTATTCAGCTGTAAATATTCATTTAGGTACTAATGTCTCAAATTTTCACACCCAGAGGAAATGTAGTGTAAGCACGGAACTTTCTGTTTACAAGTTCCGTGCTCTCTTTGTTTTCTGAATATCTCAGAACTGAACATTTTTAAATGTTTAGAATGGAGAAAATCAAGTAGAGAAAGGACCCACCTCAGGTTTTGCAATGGCCACTGGGACACATGAACTCTGGTTGGCACCACACTGACTATATAAATGCAGTATGGACCGCATTGATCTGCATTATATGGTCATTATAGAACCACATGGTGCCGTTCAATGCAGTTCAAAATATTTCTTTTACCTAAACATCCCTCTACGTAGATGAGATTACTCTCCAAAAACAATTGCTTGGCTCTAGACCAGTGGTTCTCAGCCTTTGGTCCTCCAGGTTTTTTGGACTCCAGTTTCCACAATTCCTACCAGCTGTTAAGCTGGCTGGAATTTCTAGGAGCTGAAGTGCAGAACATCTGGAGGACCAAGGGTTGGGAACCACTGGTGTAGACTAGTACTACTATCTTACACATGCTTTCCTAGGAATCAATCCCACTGAATGCATTGGAGATAATTTCTTAGTAGATATATAAAGGTCTGTACTGCAAATTAGTATTTTAGGAGCACTTTGATCCCACTAGTTAGAGCTGAACAATCATTAACTTAATTTGTATGGAAAGTAGCATCTTTAATACTTAAATGGCCTCAGTGGGACAGTAATAGAAAGACATATCTGATTTGGAGCTTTGTGGCTTGATGGCAAATGTGTAAACAGTGTTTTCTAGTTGCTGTGGTCTATAATTCCCACTATTCCAGGTTTTGGGTCTCGGTGGTTGGAGCTGAAAGGATATATCATCCAAAACATCTTCAAACCCCAATCAATGGACCATGTAAATCCTATTTCCCGCCAAAGAATCCAGTGACTATTTTAGGTTCTAGTGCTCGTTCCTAAGTGTCTCCTAATCTTATTGCAGATAAAATAAAGTTTCTTTATTTTATGATGAAATTTCTTTAATCTGAAAAATGGAATCCATTAACATTGCGAATAAAAATTCCTGTTTTCATTTCTAGGTATACTGTATATTTGCCCTAATCTGTGAGATGTGTGTGTGTTCTGCCTGTATTTTTTGTATAATATGTTTTTCTAAATATACTTTGCTTCAAAGTACAGTTTACAAACATAATTCATCCTCAACAATGCAAACTGACTAGACAGAAGTCTTTTTAGGTAGAACTCCTATCCTAGAATAATACTACAAAACTGAAATAAAATGACTGAAAATTGATATCTGAATGTAGGAAATACCAGGTGTTTTGGCTTCCACATTATCTGCTGATGTCAGTTGGAGTGGAGATGAGAAATAGCAAGCCATGGCAGAGCATGTGCCATAAGTCTTCCAGAGGAAAAACTATACATGGACTTTAAGTAAACAAGTATGTCCCATTTAAATTATTCTGCTTTATATGGGATTGTTTCAACTGTTTATATTGTTTTAATTGTATGTCATTATAAGATATCATGAATAGGACCGGGGCTGAATACACAACTTAGGCAGTGCTGAGTGGGATATGTACATACTTAAATAATTCAGTTTTGCATTTGTGATGAGTTTTGAATATGCAGCCCATATGGACATGATCTAATCAGGCATGGCTTTCTCAAGAAGGAGTTGGCAGCCCTGTTTGGAAGGCCATGCAGAAACAGGCTACTCACCACTCCATATGAATATGTGTCACATGTTTCTGACACTGGGAGACTCTGAATGACTTCGGGGGCCATCCAAGGAAAGGTACCCACAAGAGACATATGGGTTGTATGGGAATGGAACCTTGAAGCACCAAAATCACAGATCTAGACAAGGAAGCAAACAGTAAGATGGTAAACATCACTGTTTATTCAAAAGAACAATAAGATATGAAACTGTATCTAACTGTAAACACTCTATATATAACAGAAATGATCCTACCTTTAATACTCCATCTCCAGCTATAACCACTAAAAAGACATAAAAAGAAGGAATTACATTACAAAGCAAAACAACTGCATTCCTTAAAGAAGTAATCCCATCATGACAATGGGCATTATATATTTACAAGGATCACATCACTTATAACATGACATCATTTACAAGGATCACATCACTTATATGGCTGGCAGCATATCAAACCTAACCACAACCCGTCTCAGACAGAAATTTTCGGTGATAACCCTTTTACATGTCCTGGTTTCTGGATTTGGAAAATAACTGGATTTAGACCATAAGAATCTAAAGCATCTGGCACTCCTGAGCTAGAACATTTAATGTAGTAGTTCTCAACCTGTGGGTCCCCTGATGTTTGGGCCTTCAACTCTCAGATATCCTAACAGCTGGCAAACTGGCTGGGATTTCTGGGAGTTGTAGGTCAAAGCACCTGGGAACCCACAGGTTGAGAACCACTAGTTTAATGGAAAAAGTATGCTAAGAGTTGCCATCCAGCAACATCGGGGGCTGAAAGACTCCTACTTCTATCCCTCAGTGCCGTGACATTGGGAATATTAAAACAGAATACCACACAGCTTTAAAAGAAATAAATAAAAAACCAAGACCAGTCAGAGATAATTAAGTCACAGGAACCATCAAAAAAATACTAAAGCCTTTTTTGACATTTTAGTTGAGGAAAACAACTAAATTAAAGTAGAAGATACATTTGAGTAAGCAGGGATTTATCTTTCCTTATCTCTTTCTGATCTCTTTCAGTTTAAATGGGGAAAACAGCTAAGGTCAGGGACCCTAAATCTGGGAAGGGTAAAATGGTATTTAGAGTCCCCAAACTTGCTTTAGTCTATAGCTAATCTAATCTAATTAAAGTGAAACCTATCCATATTTTTTTGTTAAGTCCTTTGAATCACTATTTCTTGTATTACCTAATAGTACTCATGGTTAATTATTCTCTAATACAGATTCTAAGTGGAAGTGTATTATGACTTTGACTGCTACAACCTAGGAGCCAGGTAAATCTTTGCCACGAATATTCAGATGTTTCTCAGAATAACTTCACAAAAGGGCAAATTGCAAGAAAACCAAAATCTTCTCTTAAGGACAAATTGGCAGATGTGTTAGGAATATGTTTTCAGCAACACTTAGCTGCTCATAGAGTTGTATCTCTAGTTCCAGTATCAACACTGTATACCATAAGAAAAACAAATACAAGGAGAACAGGTAAATTCATGCAGAATTACCATTTCGAGACTTGAGGTCTCTGTGGATAACTTTGACTGGAGCTTCCATATGCAAATAATGCATTCCTAAAAGGAAGTAAGAGATGACTTTTTAAAAGAGGGAAAGTTTTTGTTGTAGTGTTAGCACCTACTAGCAGTAATTTGTTCACAAAACAAATACTAATAAAATGAACATTCCTGAACTGGTTGACAGTCCATTGACATCAATGGGATGGAACATGCTTAAATGCACACTGGACAAATAGAGGTGGCTTTAATCTAGCCCTCCTGTCTGTAAAAGTCTTTTCCCTTTTTTTCTTTGTTCTTATGAAAATGAAGCTCAACACTTCTTGAGAACTTCCTATAGTATACACCTCTGAACTACCTTTTCATCCAAAAGAATTAGGATCTGCTGTGTGATGTTAGCACTGCTGAATCAAGTTTCATTGTCAATTTGTAGGCTAATCTCATTACAGGTATAATGGTTTTTGGTTAAGTAGAAGGAGACTGCATTCAAATATATATAAAATGTGCTAGTCCATTCACTCAATACTTCCCTCTCCAGTAAGGGTAATGGTATTTGTGCTCTAAACAAATGTCTTCCCAATTCAAGTTCCGCAAATTAAACTATCTGGGAAAGATAAACAAATTGCTAGTGTTAGAGAATGTGAACAGTCTCCAACTCTGTGTTTATTCTTCTTTCTGAATTTCTTGGTGCTTGCATCAGTATACATTTGAAAAATGGGAGAGCTAGGCATAGCCCAAATGAAGCAAGTTTTTTTAAAAGGAAAGGAAGATTAACTATCCAATCTGGTAACTCTGTTAAGATAATGAACTTGGAATTAAGATAATTTAGTCGTCTTGACTGTAATAAAATGAAACTGGCTTGAATCCAACTATATCACATCTTAAATTGGTTGTTATATGGACTCCATGCCCCTAAGGAGAAATATGATCAGGTTTCTTGTTATACAAGATGTACAAGTTGCTCAAATGACTAAACACTGCTTGCATCTTTGCTGGGATTATAACACAAACAAAACACAAAATCTGCTAAGGAAAAGCATTGAGAGATCTTAATGTTTTTAGCTGTGGAGCAAATAATTGCTTCAGGAAGATATGGATCAGAAAAAAACATTACATCTGTCTTCCAGGGATTTCTTTCTGGGATCAGTTGAAAGTGTCGGTCCTTTAAACGGCCCTCAATGGAGAAGGTTCAAGATACCCCAGGAGCTGTCTTTTCCTGAACAAGTCAGCTAGTATTTTAATATCTAAGTAACACACAGTACTATTGCAAAGCCATCATCAGGGGAGGTAAGAAAGATGGACTTCTCAGTGGTTGCATTTACATTTACATAGTGGAATTCATTGCCACAGTATATGAGATTGGCACCTCCTCTGAAAACTGCCTGCTATATATTTAGACAGGTAGTTGCTGTGTACATTAACTGCAAACTACTTGAGCTCTCTATTGCATTGTTATTCTGTGATTATATCATATATAATTATGCAATCTTATCGTATTTTATAGTCTTTTAATTGTTGTTAAATTCTCTCCATTTTGCTGAATTACTAGAAGGTTATAATATAAACTTTTCCATAAATAGAGGTGAGAATTAAATGGTCTTTCCAACAATATCAGCACTGCAGAATGGACACCCTTGTCCAAAAAGTTGTTTTTAAGGGGAAATATGAATGTTTGGAAATCTGCTTGTATCTTACATTGTACATTCATTTCCTCTCTGCATGTTTCCGTTTACTATCTAAATATAATATAATAATTAAGATTTTCCACAGGAAATCACATTATTCATACATAATATTAAAATATATTCTATTTTACTTTGTTATAATTTGTTTATTTAAGCAAGAAAGACATCCAGTCCTCCCTCAAAGTTATATGCCCTGGAATAACCATTCTGAAGGGAGTTATTTTAATACTTAAAGTAAACACCACTATAAAAGAGAATTATTGCAAAGAATTATTTTCTAAATATGGTTAATTACACAGATATGGAAAAATATTTTAGTGGAATATCTTGTTCTGTAAGAGAGAGGACAACCATTTACACAAATCAGGAAAAATAATTATGATAAGCACAGGCCACATATATTTTCTACAAGTTTTTCCAAATACTGGCAAGGGTCATTAAAGTTCATTTAGTGAATCAAGATTTACTAGTATGTCATGACAAGAGCTTTTGTTGAAGGTAAACCATTTTGCTAGCACGAGAGAACATGAATAATTCAGACTGGGAGAGATAAACAAGTGGTAAGCATTAGGGGCTGTGAACAATTCAGACTGAGGACTAAGAACAGTTGTTCTCAATTGGATGTGGGCCATAAACAAATTCTGATAGTATATGATATACTCTTTGATCATAAAAACATGTATTGAGGAATCTCACCTTTAGCTATATCAGTTGCCCAAGTCATTATATGATCCATGTCCATCTCTTCACTCCTGTTGCTATTAATGTAGTCATACAGTGATCCAGCAGAAGCATATTCTGTTAGGAAATAGAAGAAATATTTTTAAATTGCTGTATCCATGGATCACCAGATAAACAGAGTTCAAGTACATGAATTTTAAGCAAAAGATTGTGTGTGTGTGTGTGTGTGTGTGTGTGTGTGTGTGTGTGTATATAGGACAGACATACATTTAAAATAAGTCTACTGATATCAACTGATACTTATGTTATATATGGCTAATTTCAGTCCCTTCAGTTTTGGTGAATAAAAATTAAGCTAGGACAATCCAAATCTTTAAATATGTGAGATTATAAATATAATCTAATCTCATATTTTGAAATAACTGGATGCTTCTAGCATTCTAATAAAAAAATGTATACGAGAAATATCAGCTTGAAGATTTAGAAATTAAATACGCATAAACCAATAAGCCACACTATAATTCAGTAATTTGAAAAAGAAAACAATCCCTGGCCATACGATGTTTGCATAAAATTAACTATGCAAATGTTGTATCATCCTTTCTTAAAATGAAATACTAAATAGGATCAAAGAGCACTTCCTCTTGGACATGTCTGAACTTGTTTTTTCTACACATGGGACTCTTCCCACTTCACTGTTCAAGCTATATAGTCCTGCTATTTTACCTTTATAGTTTCATTTACAATATCAGCAAACTGAAAAAAAAAGTTACCAGCCTTTTATGTTATTCTCTTTTCACCACACAAGAATGTGTGGTGAAAACAAAGAGGTTTCTGTATCTGACCCACTCTGTGTGGCATTAAGTATTATGTGAGTGAAACAGAATTGGATTACATAACTCACTATAAAAAAATGCTCCTCGACAAGCATCTAGGAAAAAAAATCTCTGACAGAAGAGTGTATGGCAATGCTAAAACGTGATATATGTAAAAAATATAGAGAAATGTGCACAATGGATGCATGTTTATATTTATATCCTAAATATAAATGTAGAACATACACATATATTATCAACAAATACTCTTATATTCAACAATCCAGACTTCCATGGTTTAGACAAGTGCTCCTTAAGCTATCTGATGTAGGGGACCAGCAATTTTCCCCTAACATGCCAGGGCTTCATATGATATTTGTGCCCATCAGATATCTGTCTGTCTTTTTCCTGGAAATGGCTTAGGGACCATCACAGATCTAGAAGGAACAAAGCTTTGCAAGATGTGAGAGATTCCTTCTCAGACTGGATAAGTTCTAGAGAACAGCATGAGGAGAAAAAATGAACCCTTCCTTCAGCATGTCCATTTAAATGCAAAGCAGAGGTCACAGCTGATGATTATAATACAAAGACGCTAGGAGATCTGAGCATGGCTAACCTGCATTTTGTATACCTGTGATAAGATTTACACAACAAACAGAACGTTTATTTTGCCTTCATGGTAAATGTAAGCAGGCTGAAGGTTTTCTTCAAACAACCCCCCAAAAAATCTGATGACTTCCAAAGTAGGCAGCTTAAATTGTCTAAGGTGGCTCCACACAAAATAACCTTGTAACTTTTCTGTTTGAAGCAAGGCAGCTGCATGATTTAAAAAACCTCACCTGGAAGTGCATTAAGTACTAGGAATATCTAACTACAGAAATGGTTTTCTCCACTGCTAGTCTGTGGTCCATATCTGTGCACAGTGTGGGAAGAAGGATGAAATGAGGTGTTCTCCCCACTTTGACCATGTGCCACCAGTGTTTTAGCTCCGCATCCTCAAAAATGATACTGACACACTGTACCTCCCATGGAGACTTGAAAGTGAAGCTGGTGGGGATAAGCAAAGGCAAAAAGTCTGGAAATTGAATTGTGAAAGAGGTTCTCAATATTTTGCTAAGGCGGAAACTACCAAATACTGATTACTCATTAATGGTATATCAATATTCCTAAAATGGTATACTCTTTGAAAGCAACTGCTCTACGAAGCACCTGGATTGCACAACCAATCCAGTTTTTAACCATAGTTTCAGGATTTAGAGGTATTTAAAAGTGTCACCTCTAAAATATGACAGTAAAAATGCACCCAAGGCTATGTTTGTTATCCCTAATATAGTCTAGCTTTTGACTAAAAGGTCTCTTGACCTTCTTCTGAGGTTATATTCCCCCATTAAGCCAGGTAGTATGCTTGACCTGCACTCCAGTATTCCCTAGACTATATAAAAGTATCTATGGCATTATGCACACATGAAGATTTACACAAGGCTATGCCAGTATACAGTGTCCTGCACGTCACATAACATGTACTCTGATATGCAGTCTATAATAGTGGTTCTCAACCTGTGGGTCCCCAAGTGTTTTGGCCTACAACTCCCAGAAATCCCAGCCAGTATACCAGCTGTTAGGATTTCTGAGAGTTGAAGGCCAAAAACATCTGGGGACCCCAGGCTGAGAACCACTGGTCTATAAGATCTGAACCACACCTGTCTAATCTGAAAAGCAAGTTCTCAGTAATCTGTCAGCAGCACGGACATATTACATATACTACTACTTGTTGTGGTGGTTGCTGTAATCATCATTTATATTCCAAATAACTATTATTTGTTTTCTTAAGGAACTATTTTCCTGTTTGGTGGGAAATATGCATACAAACCAAATGCATGTAATTCTCTCTGTTTTTCTTTTGTTTTCAAAGCTAGCCCTAATATTCAAAACATTTATACTATTATACCATCCTATAAGAATTTCCACTCTTGGTATCAAAGAAAACATTGCTCACAGCACTGTACATGAAGAGCAACAGTACATAAGTTATGCCCAAGTGTTCATGTTTTAATAACTTACATAAAAATCCATAAAGCTACAAGAGCTTTCTAGAATTCTCCTTCATTTTAGCCTTTCTTATTTTGGTTATCATTCCTGTTTTTGCACTTTTATAATTTCCACTGCCTCGCTTCTCCAGACACATAAACATGTCTTATTTGAACCAATCGCATGCTTCAGATTAGAAAGTGGTAAACCGTTCATGGAACAGTAGCAAATTGTAAAAATTCTGCATATAGCTCTATTCATTCATTTTATTGTTGCTGCTGTTTGCCTTCAAGTCATTTCCAACATATGGTGACCTAAAGTGACACTATCACGGGGTTTTCTGAGGCTAATAGTGCATGACTTGCCCATGGTCACCCAGTTGGATTTTATATCTAAGAAGCAAATTGGTAGTCTCCCTCCCTTATCTAAATAATATAAAGGAAAACCCCAGAACTGTTTAGGCATTTTGTTTGCCTACTAATGTTTAATGGAGGAGAGGTGACATCCTACATCATTACAGCTATTTCAGTGTTCAACCTGGGAATGACTGTTGACAAGAGTGAGGAGTAGAATTACTGCTAGATAACGTAGCAATAATTCTGCTTCTCATTCCTTAAGTTAACATAAAATCACTTTCACAAGTCTTTTTTGTTAGCTAAGAACACTACACAACCATTACTGAACTTCATTGAGGGTTAAATTATTTTGTAATCCTGTCCAAGTCCTAGAAGGAGAAGAAAATGGAGGCAGTCCAAGGACAGGAAAAGAGCTCTTGGTTTGGCTCTTAGGCAGAAGAAGAGCTGCTGTTTCATAAACAGAAGGGCAGAACAGAGGTCAGTAAGTCCTAGCTCACTGTAAAGGCAGAGCTACTGCTCTTATACACTTCTGCAGCTGTCACACAGCAGATGCTCGGGCGCACCTAAAACTGTTTGTACTCTATGAGTGCACTATAGTGATGTGGTTACACAGAAAAAGGAATCATTATTAAAAAGTTATTCGTGATACACATAAAAACTTCAATGCACACAGTTGTGTAGTTTCACTAGTCATTTCAATATATATCACAAACATTAGACTCCCTTGAATATAAAATATACAGGCCAAAGAAAGACCTCTACTCACCTGTAACTATGCCATAGTTAGGAGGTTCAATAACAGCTCCATAAAATTGAATGATATTCCGGTGGCTGAGCACACTGAGTATTTCTGCCTGTTCAAAACCCAAGGAAATCCATTAGCTGCACATACAAAACTTCATGAAGCTATACTGAATCAAACACACACTATAGTTAACAAATACTGATGCATGTTACAAATTACTTCCACACAAATGGCATCCATGCTAAACCACCTTCATGTAAAGCACATCTATCCAGCCTGGCATGTCATTTTATGTGGTTTGCAAGGCTTTCAATGCCAAGGCAACATAGTTATATACAATTACAACCTGCCCTTTGAAGGCAACCGGAAGACTGATGTGGCCCTCAGGGAAAATGAGTTTTGACACCTCTAATGTAAAGGAAGCATGAAGGGAAGCATGCATGTTTGAATGTCATTCCACCAATAAACTCATATGGCAATTTCATGTTCAGGGTAGCCATAACTACTGAATTTGGACTAAGAGAATATACATGAAGGGTGATTGCACACATCGAACATCTACACACAGTTCTTTCTCAGATGACCTTCTAGAGGGGTGAAGTAGAGAGTGCTGTTTTGCATCAATTGCTTTTACCCTGCAATAGGACTTCGGCACTGAATACTGAATACTTTGTGCCAGTTCTGAAGTTCCATTACCTTCTCTAATTGACGGAGCATGGACTGCCATAAATCAATCAACTGAGTTCTAATGTAGTGTCATAATTCAAGCATTTTCTCTTAGTGAAAGATACAATTAAAATTGTAATATGGGTTAAATATCGATGGTTGATAGGTTCAGTTAGGACCACATGTAGTCTTTGAATTAATCTCTCCCTTTGCATATAAAATAGATATGCTGCAGATATATATTATGGGAGCCTAAAAGGAGAAGACATCAGGGTCCTTGTCACATTTGCACAGTTATCTCACTACGGTTCTATTTTAAATGCCATGGTAACATCCTATGGAATCCTGGAATTTGCAGTTTACGGGGAGAGAAACCCACAATTTCCAGCCCAAGAGATCCACTGGTGCATCTTATCAAACTACAAGGCCCAGGATACCATAGGATGAAACCATAGCAGTTAAACTGGTATTAAAGTACTATATAAATATAGTGTGAAAGTGCCTTAGGGGAAAATCTCTATTCTTGCTTAATTGAATCCAAAACAAGTGGTTCCAAATTGCATGCTACAATGTTAACGTATTGTGCGGCTTAGTCATCAGAAGTCAGGGAAACTACCCCAGAAGGCAAATAGCTTATGGTTACTTCACAATACTATTAGCTACATACACTATAATAAACCTTTCAAAATAATGACACAATTGCTTCATTTCCTGTTGAAAGGGCATTTACTGGTCTATAGAACATGGGAACTGTAGGCATGTGAGGGGTGAAAGGCTATCCAGATACAAACACATATATATTTATTGGATTTCTCAACTGTTTTTTCTTATGGACAACTTTCACTTCTTCCTAGGAAAGGAAAAAGTAGATGATTTATTAAGAACTGCCGGGTTCCATCTCTGAATTGTTGAGCTCTCATTCTAACCAGTTCCTGTTTTCCAGGAATACATTTCCAAACCCTTTAACACCACTCCTTGAATACTGCTTTCCTTGTATGAATATTGTTTCTTTTTCACATCAGTTGTCACCACATTTTTGGCTACAATAACAACCTAGTTTTTTACTAGGTGATGAGGTTAAGTATTGCCCACAGATTTTGCTCCAAGTATCCAGGCCAGCTAACCCCCTAAATAGGCACGGGGGCACCGTGAACCCAGGCAGATGTAAGCCACGTGGTCACTTTCTCTGGGATAATTTGAGGCATGCTTTTCAATTGCTTCCCCCACTTACTGCTGCCATGATTTGAATGTGACAGTTAAACTGGTATAAAACTAGTGAGGAAGGGCAAAGGTCAATGTATCTAGAGCAATTATTTTATTTTCTACTACGATATGAAAAAGAAACCTGGGCTTCCCACTCATAGAATTATATATCTGTATTCTCTGACTTGATCCACAAAGAGATAGTAATAAGATGATGATGATAATGATGGTATAAGAAAAACATTCTGTTTTAATAATAAAAATAATAATAAACTTTATGTATATACCTCTCTATCTCCCTGAGGGGACTCAGGGCAGTTTCCAACACAAGCAAAACATTCAAATGCTGAATGACACAAAACCATACAAAAATAAACATTATACATTTGTCTGTGCTTAGAGGGTTTTTTCATCACTGATTTAGCCATTTTCTTTTTCTGAAAAGTCAGTTGGTAAAGGCCAGCAACAAGAACAACATGTTTCACTCCAAGTGTGAGACCTTTTTTAAAAACCCAGCCCCATGCCAAAAACCTAGCAAGGCGTCACAACATAGATAATATGGTTTCCTTTTGTGAATATCATATTTTGAAAATAAAGTTGATTTTTATTCAGCCAATGGGTCAGCCAACCAAATCTGTTGAATTTCCCAGCATGAAGCACTTTCTCATGACACAAAATTCCAGGGTTAAAGACGTTGAATGTCTCTAGCCCTCTGGTGAGCTGAACATCACTAAGTGCTGAGTAACATTTATCATGTCAGAATTAGTACTATAGCTAAAGAAATATTTGCCATGCTTTACCAAAGAAATACCAACACTATTTATAAAGAGCAAAAAAAGCAAGAAAATATAGCTTAAGTGATTGGCAATTTTGAAGGCGCAACTATAACATAATCTTGGGATTTTTCAAATCTTTCAGTTCTTTTCTTACAATGTTTTGTGTAAAACCATTCTCTAGAGTTTATTACACCATTTAGACTAAGTTTCAGTTGTCCAAATAATTTCTCAGTATTTACTGATTATTAACAGAGTGCTTTTTTATACACACAAGGAAGATTTCTTTGTCAAGCTAAATTACGGTACAATGCTGCAAATCTTAATTCATTCCTAGTTTGTGGCAGGAACACCAACCCAAAATAGGCATTACCCTATATCTTCCTCACAGTGCATTAGTTAATAAAAAGTATCAATAAAACATCTGAAAGTTTGTCATTAAGATGCTGTATATCACTAATATCCCCACAATGGTATCCATAATGGAAAGACACACATCATTCTATGACAATGTGAGGGGCATGATAATGATGTGACAAACCCTGTCTCCCATTTCATGGATGCAATGTGCTACTGAACTGCCAGGAAACAGTTCAGGAGCCAGACTCATCCATAACACCTATAACTAGGATGGCAACACCTGACAACCCCAGACAAGACACCTCTCAAACAGTGACTAATTCTCTTGATATGAACCAAGCCACAGATGAGGAAAGAATGGAACACTACTCCAATTACAACACACAAATCCATATTATTGTTGTTGTTGTTTGTTTATTTTCAACATTTGTGCATCACAAAAAGGATTTCATTGCATTATATGTAATTTAACAGGAATACTCTATGGTAACGTCTAGTAGAAGTTGTTCAATTCAATAGGGATCACTATTATCCATGGTTTCCTGTTTCCATAGAATGTTCAGGAAGATATCCCTGTGGACTCCATATGTGCCTTTAAAAAATAATGCTTGCAAAATGTAAAGGTTTTCATCTGTTCAAAAACAATAAAATGTTGGCTTCAGTGATACCTCAAGTGTGAGGACACTCCAGAGTTGCAGCACCATTGCAAAGTGAAGTTCTGCCTCTATAGTGTAATGATAAATGTGCTTTTCTTACAGAATACAAAAATTACCAGCATAGGAGCTAATAGCTTTGTTCAATTAACATCAACAGTTGTGTCCAAGGTTCCATCTCAGTTTGTGCTGTCCTTGACATTCCACCCAGCCACAGCTCTATTTTTTGGAGTGATTACCAGCAGACAGAAAATGATAAACCTCCCTATGCTGTTGCTACTCTCCCGTATCTGCTCACTTCTCTCACCAGACTGGAGGCGTGTATGAATATCTAACATTGGTGTGGAAATGCTGTGCTTTTGCTACATGCCCAGTCTGAAAAGATCCTTGAGATTATTTAACTTTTATTTCTTGTTTCAGCTGGAATAGGAGAAACATATAAAACAGCCTCCCATATGGAAGAAGTAAGAAAATGAGAAGATTTTAAAAGAGAAGTTAAATTTAAGAAACAATTTCCATACCATTCCCTAATATTTTATTTACTTTATGTGTCTCTTTTCTAATACATATGAAGGATGCATGGCATTAAACTAGGGCATTTCTACACAGCCCAAAAAGGAGGTCAGAACCAGCATCCAAAATGCCAGTTCTGGACCATTTTGTAGTCCAATAGGGACGGCGGCGGCAGCAAAGAATTCCCAGTAGCACAGAAAAGTGAACCTGGTTTTGTCCCACTGGGCAGGACCTCAACTGCCACCACCATCTCCCCTACTGGTATTACTGGGTGACCTAGCTTATGTTTTGTGTGTCGGGATAGGAAGAGGGGGGGCAGAAGCACCCCCTTTCCCTCTTCCATCCTCTTTGCCAATCACAAGAAAAGGAAGGAGTAAAAAAATGTCTCCAACATACAGTATGTTACCCTTTTGCTGAAAGTAGCAAACAGTGACACAGTGGAGGGGGACAAAAGGTGACAGTCATCTTGCATCCCTGGGCTACCTGATCCCAGGGAGGGTGGGATACCTGTTGAGACACCTGCAGCTGGCTCCTATGCAGAATTGGCTGTGGGTGTCCGGACTGCCATAACTTGGAGAAAAACCTTAATCGTAGTGCAGATTTCAAGTTTTCCTGAGTTATAGTGCCCTGAGATATTAAGCAGCTTTCCCCAGGTTAATCCAGATCAGTCCATGTGTGTTTTGTGGCCACCCACAGGCTGATATGTCCCCACACCAACTTAAAAGGGGAGTAAAGACATTTCACGTGGCTGCTGCACTCTCCCTTGATACAAGGAGAGGTAGAGTTTCATGAGTAGATCCCCAGTCAGTTTGTACATATAAATTTTGCATGCAGTCCAAATTGTCAATGTGACCTCTTGGTCAACATACACAATGCCCCAGATTTTACCAGGAGAGACATTTGTGTGATTGCACAATGGGGCAACAAAAGCTGTTATATTG